ATATATATATATATATATATATATATATATATATATATATATATATATATAGAGTGTCGGATAATTGTTGACACACGTTATGTGCAGGTAGAACTTATCAAATTGAACACAAGATTCCTATGCCGTTTAGTAAACACAACCACATAAAATTATGAATTATTAAATAATGAAGATTGGTGAATCATAACATATCTATCGCATATGATAATGTTTGCCATCATATGCTTGTATATTAGATCAAACTGAACAAACAAGTTCTCTATCATTTTGCGTATGACCACGTAGATTTTTAGTTATTAATCAAAAAATATTGATGCGTGACTGTGCTATAACGTGATTATTTTTCTATTTTTTTAAATTAATTAACTTAACCTTGGCTTTTTGAGGATAAGGATGTATGTACAATTAATGAAATTGTGTATTGTGTGGTCGCAATGCGACCACACAATACACAGTTGGGTTTTTTAAGAACTGCAATGAATGCGATATATCGCATCACAATTTTGTATCACAAATACGATTTTGAATCGCGCATGATTTTATATCGCAAATACGATTTTGAATTGCGCGCAATTTTTATACTGCTAACGCAACTGTTAATCATAAGGAAACTTGGTGCATGATGGAACTTTAATGTTTAAATATTAATGTTAAACATATTAGAAATAAATAAATCAATTCTGTCTTCGCGCGCGCACACGTACTGCATAAAAATATTCTTTAAAATGTCCACTATAAGAAAACACAAATTTTACTGTGAAAGAATAGTTCAAAATAAAAGTATAATGAAGTTAAATATTTTTTTAAAACATCGCTTAACCTCATTATGCTATTTACGCAGGACAAAATGGGAGATATTTTACAAAACTTGTTTATTTTTTATCATTAATTTTTAAACGTTTTAAAAAATAACTTATTAAGACATCCTTAATAAGGATGTGTTATTGCATGTTTAATTAATTATAATTATTTATTGACATTTTTCTTAAAAATATCTTTTTTATGGGCTTTTTTATTAAAATATTAATGACAATCAATATCAAGTGTAGTAATCTTAGATAATCTTCTGAAACATATATAACAAAAAAAAATATATATATATATAAATCATATATAAAAATAAATAATGCAACTTAATATTTTAAGGCTGTTATAATATTATAATCCTATTATATCTCTAAATGTATAAATTTGCGCACGCGCATTAGATAATATGAAATATCATAGATTGTCGCGATATATGTACAAATATTTAACTATAATGACGAGTGATTTTGAATTGCAGGCGCGATTTTTAATGATAAACGCGATTTTGCGATAAAGATCGCGATTTTGCGATCAATTGCGTATCGCATTGCGATTGAAGAAACAAAAATCGCAGTGCTTGTGATATATCGTACATTCCTATCATAACTATTCGAAATATCTAAAACTCGAGAATCATCACAACGGCACCCATAGGGTTTTAAATCTCTTTTGAAATTAATGCAGAGCGCGCCGCCGCAACGTCTTCCGAGTTTCATAAGAAATGTCGAATGACGGGGCGCAAAGTCTTGAGAGGACGTGTCACGTCGTGTCGTCAGAAAAGCGGCGAAGATGCGGCACGCGTTTTCTGGGTTCGCGCATATGTAATCGACGCGGAACTTTGTGCGACTCGTCACGCTCGATAATGCGAAATATCAGCTCTTCTCGAGGGTGACTTCGTTGGCGAAAAAACGAGGAGAGAAGAGAATGGGTGTATGTGTGTGTAAATGTGCGCGCATGTGTGGTGGGTCGAGTAGGTCGAATGGTCGCGTGGAACACGATGACTCCTCCTGGATGTATTTGCCGCGGAATTACAGCCAAGTGAAAGACTCGTTTCAATGTTACAAATGTTCGTTTATGAAACTTTCATCACTCCTTGGCAGATTAATCGCGTCGGGCTTCGCTTCATGTAGGATCAAGTGCATCATTGCCGCGTCCGCAGACAAAGCAACTTTGTCAGATGCAGCGCGCGCGGAATTGACGCGGAATTGCGGACGCTTCTCCAAATTTTGCCATTTAGAAATTAATCCTTGTGCTGCGCGCATTATTCATGGAACACGTTCGAAAAAAAAAACAAATATAATTTTGCGCTTGGTTATATTGGAAATTGTTACCTTAATATCACGTAATAGCGTTATTTAGTATAACTCTGAAAAATATCAGTAAAATCCTTTTGTGAAAGTAATTTCCAACGTGTGACTTTCAAACATACAAATATTGGATATAAAGAATTATCTTGGGAATCTTTTCCTTCTTACCCCTCCTCTCTTATTACTCTTCTCTCTATTGAAAAGACATACAGATATATAATTCCTATAGTTTGAAATATATACACGGAGAGAATATTGTTTGTTTTTTTATCATTTTTTATCATAAATCAATAATAATTATTATTTTAATTTTACCATATGTTTCTAGTAGTGCAGGAATAGTCAGTAAGGTCTGTTTTGCTAAGCAACGTAAAGAATATCACTAGCAACATAGCAAATTTTTCAATAGTATATTTCAATTTCTGATATAGAAATAGAACACAGTGGCGTAGGCAGGAGGTGGGCTGAAGGGGCTGCAGCTCTCCTCGAAATTAATTTTCTGGGTTACGCTAAATGTGAGAAAAATTTTTTCAAATAACCTTTTTTTTGCCCGTTAAAAATAAAAAGTAGAGCCCCCCCCCCAAAACTTTTTCTGGCTACGCCACTGATAGAACATATGAAATATATTTGAAAGGGTAATTAATTTTGTGTGTGTGCGTGCGTGCATGCGTATTCTGTGTGTGTATAGTGCAGAATGTCAACCCATTCCTCGGTTATAAAATTCTATAGTAATTTTTACTACAAACTCTCTTCGGGTAGATGTTTTACGTATCTATCTAAATCCTAAACATTTCTATCACGTGTTTATTTAGCGTGCTAAACGCTAAATAGCAATTACTTGCTGATTTGTTTAAATAATATAATGCATTATTATCCTATCGTCATAAAATATACAAAGTATTCAATTCAGATGAGACTTTATTTTTGCCGATTTTTATGAATCAAAAGCATATCGCTGTTCCAACTTCTAAAAATTATTAGTTACACAGATATATTTCTACATTTACTTCCTCTTTATTATAATAGTAACGAATAAATTTGGACTGTGAGAGAAAGGAAAAAATCATGCGCAACCTAGTGAACAGTTCAACCTTATTTAATATTTTGAGGAGAATCTATTGGACAACTAAAAGCAAAACGTGAGATACTTAACAGCATTTTAAGTGTCAATCGAGCAGATGGTTGAATCCATATATATAAAATTTATATATATAAAATATTTTCATTACGATCTATTGTGGTTTTTTCATTATCCATCCCGTATATAACCATCTACTCGATTGACACTTAAAATGCTGTTAGGTGTCTCACGTTTTACTTTTAGTTGTCCAATAGATTTTCCTCAAAATATTAAATAAACAGGCTGTTCACCACTAGGATGCGCATGATTATTTTTTTCTCTCACAGTCCAAATTTATTCATTACTATTATAATAAAGAGGAAATAAATGTAGAAATATATTCGCAGGGTCTAATAGGAAATTGCATGATATAATCTTTGGAAGACGGAACAGCGATACGCTGCTCTGATTCATAAAAATCGGTAAAAATAAAATCTCATTTTAATTGAATACTTTGTTTATTTTATGCTAATAAGATAATAATGTATTATATTATTTAAACAAGTATTAAATAATAATATAAAAACTAAATATAATAAATAATATAATAAATAACTAAATATTTTTATATGTAAAACTTTATAATATGTAAATCTTCTTATTTGTTTCTTATTCTATATAGAAAGTTTTTATTTCTTAATACATTTTTAAATAAGCTAAAGAAGCAGTCTATCATACCTTTCTTTTTCCTTTTTCCTTCTCCTTTCTTTTTTTAAAATGATATAAAGATTATATAAAGATAATATAAAGATTATATAATCTTTAAGACTAAAAGGTATGTGTGCGTGTGTGTATATATTTTATGTGTGTGTATCTATCTAAATCCTGAACATCTTTTTTTCACTTTTTCATTTAAATCTCTAAATGATAACAATTGTTGGATGATTTGTTTAAATAATATAATGTGTTATTTTCGCATCACCTTAAAATATTAAAAATATTCAATTAAGATGATTTTATTCGTGTCAACTATTATGAGACAAGGCAGCGTATCGCTGCCCTGACTTCCAAAAGTTAGATGTTTCAGAAAATAAATAAATCTATAATAAAATATTCCTATACACACACACACACACCGCTTTTTCTTTCTCATAATACTAAGGAATATAATTAGACGAAAAAAAAATTATGCACCATCTAACAGTAAATAATTCAATCAGCTTGTTTACTTTACATATACAGGGTGTCCGGTAACTCACAAAGGAGCCGCGGTGTACAGATAGATTAGCTCAAATTGACCAAAAAATTCCTCTACCATTCTGGAACAATCACATAAAATTCTAAGTTATTAATCAAAGAAGATTCGTGAATAATCACATGTTATACGGTAGATGAGTTGTAATGACGATATCTGCTGTATGCTTGTATATTAGGTCAAACGGAACAGAAAAGTTCTTTTCCATTTTCCAACTGATCACATACATGTTTAGTTATTAATTAAAGAAATTTGGTGTACAATTGTGCGCGATAATACATCAATCATTTTTAATTAACAACTAAACATCTACGTGATCATTTGGAAAATGATACAGGACTTTTTTGTTCAATTTGATTTAATATACAAGCATACAGCGGTAAATATCACCGTCACAGTTCATCTATCGTATGATGTGTTATCGTATGACTATTCATGAATCTTCTTGGATTAATAACTCAAAATTTTACGTGGTTGTATGCAAAATGACAGACGAATTTTTCGTTCAGTTTGACCTAATCTACCTGTACACAGCAGTTTCTTCGTGAATTACTGAAAATATGCTGTATATATTTCTTTTTCTTTTTCTTTAAGACAACCTATCGGATAAAACGTAATAGATACCTAATAGTATTTTAAATATCGGTCTAGCAGATAATTGAATCCGGTGAGGATAATAAAAAAATAATAATAGATCATAATAAAACAATTTTATATATTCCTAATTAAATAATACAAGATGCTTCAAGAAAATGTTAATGCTTGTATAGAAATAACTTTTTTAGAGAAACAAAAACAGAGAACTGATAACATAAGGTATTATAGTAACTAATGTATTTTATCTTTATAGAGTCTTCATTTGTTCATCATCATGGTCAACACATTCTTGGAATCTTCTTTAGGTGATCTTCAAAGCTTTGAAGACTTTTGTAACCGAGTTTTTTAATACATATCATATAGCCTTATTTATAATTTTTTTAACCAATTTTCATTTATACAACTATTTCGATTTGATTTATTTCTTTGTCAATACGAATGATCATGCGACGTCTGAATGTAAAATCGAGATAAAAAGATAAAAAAGAGGGAAAGGTAAAGGCGGGGAATGACGAAATTGATTCTTTAATCTATTTAAGGATATATTAAGAATAAAAAGTTTTCATGCGCTACGAAGTTTTTTAACATTATAAATGTTGTTTTAAAATTGTGTGGACTTTTTTTATATAAAATATAATACAAATTCGGTATAATGCTGTAATGAAAAAGTCAGGAGAAGCATATGCAGAAATTAAAGGCGAGTGGTTTATGTTTGAGATATATTCGCGAGTGAAAACCAGCGTGAAGTGAATTATTTCGCCCGCATTCCCTTCACACGACGACCCATCTATCTTCACAAAAAATGGTTTGCATTATGGGTAATTGTCGTTTCGAGCACGGAATCTCGTGACAGCTGACATTTGTCTCGACTATCATAAATAAATTACGGCGACATGATACAATTAGCGCGCCGCGTTACGAACAGCCGTGTGAGTTTTCTTCGTCGAATAAGCGATTTACATGGGCCAAGGTGCGTTACATCGTCAGGCTATATAAAAAAGCGTCACGGATCAGCGCCGTCCTTGCCACATACGGCCGATGGCGTCACTATGCTGGAATAACTTAAATTTCGCCAGAGACGCGGGCAGCACGGTATCCGCTTAATTGGTTCGCGTATCGAAGCGCACGTTTAATCGATCTTCATTATGTGCGTAAGTTTTGTCAAATTGCCGTCGCTGTTTGTACGAAAACTCGCTCTCGTTATCCGCGTTACAAAATCTCTGTGAAAATAATAAAAAAACAACTCCGCCTGTATCGGCAAAATGAACGGACTGCTATGTCGCTTTAGTTTCTTTATGTTCTTACTATCGATCGGCTATTAGCATAACGGAAAACTATACTAAATGTGCGCGCGAATCAATGATAAAGTGATTGATAATGTATAGTCGGTGTAAGAAAGGTTACAGCGGGTTTATCTCGATGAATTTTAGAACGCGTCCAAAATCCAATAGGAAATTGATCTTCTTTTTTAATTACTAAAAGACAACTTCAAACCCACTAACAATAACAACTCATACAACTTTGAGTGAAATTTAATTATAGTTTAAGTTGTTAATTAGTGTGTTGTTATTTATTCATTTATACATATCTTCTGTTCATTATTCACTTGATAAGAGGCACAGCAAATGGACAATACGTTTCATTACGAGTTTTACGCGTGACAATGGCAATTTTAAATAAATAAATAAATATCACAATATAGGCTATACCCAAGCACGATAGAAAATCACAATGACGTTAAAATGACGAAGAAATTATTGAATTTTGATTAAAAAGTAAGTTTTCTTAGTAATTTTTTCATTATTTTAATGTCATCGTGATTTTTTTATTCTGCCTGAATAGTTCTTATAGACTAGATACATTTTTAATTGTATTATTATTCTTTAGATCCAAAGTATTAATGATTTTCTTCTTAAAAAATAACTTCTTCTGTTAGACATCTGATACATTCTGAAATTCATTGCGACAAAAGTGTTGCAATCTTATCTCTACTGACTATGCCAAATTTTTTTACATTTTATGATGAATTATACACTTATACACTTACAATTTATAGTTTTGAAATGTGAAGCAATTATTATAATATCGTTTAACAGCTTCATAATAGTGTTCATCTTTTAAAATAGTGTTTATCTTCTAAAAATAAATAAATTCCAAAAACTCACATAAAAATTGTATGCGCGAACAATATCCATCGATCCTTCATACAAATTTACATAACTGAAAAGCCTTCAATTTGATGTATAACTCAAATAGATATACATTATTTTAATACAATATAGAGAATAAGAAGTATCCAGATTTAACTTTTGACTAAAGTATAATTTTCCATAGAACATGGGATATAGAAATATTATGTTAAATTTTTTTAGTTTGAGTTAGGTATGGGAATTTTATTTATGATTTTATTCATGATTGATGAAAATTGATATAGTCGGCATATGAGATCGTTAGAAGGAGACAAAAATGTTCTGTGTACGTTAAGAGAATATACTGAGAGAAAAATTATCTTAAAATCAACAAATATTTCCTTGGTGGATGCCATTAACATATTTAAATCTACATTCTCTTTACTTAAATCAAATATTGTTTATTTAAATCAAGTAAACAATATTTGATTTAAGTAAAGAGAATGTAGATTTAAGTAAATATGTTAATGGCACCCACCAAGGAAATATTTGTTGATTTTAAGATAATTTTTCTCTCAGTGTATCAACATAATAGAGGCTTCGTATTTTTTGCTATTCTTTTATTTGATTGTACATAAGAATTATAAATGCTTATGTAGATTGAAAGTACAGATGTCAATGAATGGCAGAATATTCCATATTATATAAAAAATTAAAAAAATGTTTATTTACAAATTTTTTAATTTCTGATATAATATGGTATAACATGGTATACTCCGCCATACATTGACGTTTGTACTTTTACTTTGCATAAGCATTTACGACTCTATACAACTAATTAGAAAAATAGTGCTGAATACGAAAGATGTTATGTCGAAGCATTTAGCATCTCCTAGCTCACACACACACATTACAAAAATATTACACTAACATTAAACTTAAGAAGTTCTTAAATATGTTGCTGAAGATGTGTATAGTAGCGATATTATCATAACTTTTTAAAGTGTTACTTTCCAGGACATTTGATAAATCTTAAAAATAAATATTACCTTAAAAATAAATATTAATACAAGATTTTCTTGGTTAATTGAAGATTGCTTTGTGTGGTTAAATTATTATTATTCCAATATAACTATCTCACTATCTTAAGCTAACATTTTAGTAATATTGACGTGCTACTTTCCGCGATAGAGAATGTTACCATAACATTGTATTCCCAAGCAAAAAATATAATTTACTGAGATTTTATAGCAACATTTTAGTAATAGTATTAATTATGATGTTATGTGGGATACTTCCTCGACATTATTGTTCTCCTGCAATATATAATTAATTGATCGTAACTGTTAATCTGTATGATATTTATCAAAAATTTCTTAGTGATAATATTATTTACAGTTTCAAGTTACACTTATTTCTGAAACGTGCAGTTGGTCCGATATACATTCGATACATCGTTACGTTCACACCGATTCCTCTTGACTCACAAGTCTAATTATGCATATAAATACGCAAGTAGGAGCCAGGAGAGGAAGGGAAGAAGGGAGATATCGTGCAACGAGCGATTGCGTGTCGCCTTGAATGGTGACTGAGCAATCATTGCGCGTGTGAAACATCACATGGCGCGAAAGCTATTATACAAAGGTGATGCATTCCGCCAATAATCATGATTGAAATCTTTACGTGTTTCAGCACGGCGTCGGCGTCGAATTCGTCCGTGTTCTGCCGGAAACGCATCCTCCTACCTTGTCGAACATCTTCTGTGAGTGCGACTCAAAGAACGACGTGGTACGTAAACATCTCGTTTCCGTTTATGCTGTTTTAGCCTTTGGAAGATCTTCCTTCCAGGGTTGCATTCCAAAACATCTTTTTCGAGGAAAATTTTACTTTTAAATCTATAGTTCATGTTACATACATTATAGACTTAAGAATAAAATTTTGCTCGGAAAGGACGTTTTGGAATGCAACCTAGGATAAGTTCCAAGTTTTTTCTCTCGGGCTTGTTAATACAATGATTGTGTCCCACAAATACAAGGATTGTATGCTTGATAGCAAAACAATTTGCACACTTTTTATTGAATGAAAAGCTGCAGAGCTTCAAATTGTTACAATTAAGGACGCGGACATACAGAAAAAACTTAAGCAGTACGTAAATTGACCAATCATAATCGATTATTCTTCGACCGTGAGGAGAATTATCGATTGTGATTGGCCAATTTTCTTACTGCTTAAGTATTGCTGCATAAGTTTTTCTGTGTGTCCCGGTCTAAAAAAACGAATGGCACACAGAAATCAGTAAGACTTAAGCAGTAAGAAAATTGGCTAATCTCAATCGATTGTTCTTAGGTCGTAAGAATTATCGACTGGTGATGGGTCAATTTGCTTAATGCTTACGTTTTTTTACGTATTCCCGGTCTAAGGGAACCGAAATGACAAGAACCGAAATGACAGTCGGCTAATCAAATGTAGCAATACTTCTCCTCAATGAGTTTTACAACATACTGCGTATCCAGTAAAGAAAACATCCTAAGAATGATTAAAAAACAAATTCTCTTTTTCTCTGTATCTCTATTTCTCTCTCTGTCTTTCTCTTTCTATCTTCCTCCCTCACCCTCTCCCTCTCTCTCTCTCTCTCTCTCTCCCTCTCTTTCTCTACTCTCTATTCCTTACTCTCTCTCTTCTATTAGACACGGGATGTATTATGAAATTCATAAAAAAAATGAGTAGCGCTTGTGGATGTTAGACTGTATGTGTATGTGTGTGAAGATAAGTTTGGCCACTATGATAAAATTGGTATAATTTGCAAGCATTTTGCAATCGATGTATAATTATCAGCGTTTAGCAATGCGGGAATATGTTTTGTATATGCGTTAGCGTGTCTCTTCATTTGATCGGTCTGCTTTTCCCATCCATTAATTTTACTATACTGATATATCATATTGTATAAGTTAGTATATTTTTTATTTATCACTGAAGAGGGACAGATTGAGGAACGAAACGTTTGGATTTTTGACTAATAAATTTTGTACTTTTAACGATGTAAGTCGCATTTGCAAGTTTTTACTTATCGGATTACACCATTACACCTGTGTATACATTTTTATTGTTCCTTAAATATTTTATTGATTAATGGTCACCACAGCCTTTCCAAGCAAAATTTATTTAATTCGAGAACAAGTGTTGAAACTTTTAATCAATTAACTATACAGATGGTGACAATAAAGCTAAAAGGGAGAATTTTAAAGTAAGAGAACATTATTTTGAATATTTATTTTTATATATCTTATAAAATAAGATATCGTGACAGTATATTGAATACGCGTGAGCAGTAACTCTTACGTCCGTATTAATAGTCGTTACTTGAAACTTGCTTCAGGTAAGACACTCAGATTTTAATTTAAAGTTATACTTAAGTTTGTTAGCTGAATCGCGGTTGCAAATGTAATATCACATATATTATATAATTTAAATAACAAATTCTCATCTAATTCTAAATTCAGATTTGAGTATTTCACGTAGGATAAATTTCAAGCAATCACTATTAATACGAGCTTGAGTTGTGACAATTTGAAGCTGCAACTTCACTCCAAAAAGTATACGAACCGTTCTACGATTGAGTATATAGATCCGTCGAGTAAAAATTATTTATTATTGGTATACGCTTTTAAATCTACCAATCACATCCATCTTCCGTAAGTTGATCAGTCAACCGTTGAATAAAAATAATTTATGATTGTATATTTTTATACTAAAAAAAGTGGTGGGATAAAAAAAATCGGCGGTCACGCACCTTCAAAGAAATATTGTATCTATTGAACAAATTACGCGTTAGTGCAATAATAAGTTGCATTGATATAGTTACAGATTAAATTGCAATCATTAAATCCATATACAGAGTGTTTCACTTTAAGTGATATGGTCGATTATCTCCCGAATCGATGATTTTATTGAAAAATGTTTCCAACGAAAGTTGCATGGCTTGAAGGAAGACACATGATGAAAATGTGGACTTGACCTTGAGTGACCTTGTCAAAATCAGATCAAGGTCATTAATGTTTTTTTAAATGGAAACCCCTATTTTTTATTACATATTTTTGTAGTTTATCGCGAGAGCTTTCCAAAACACTAAATAGAGTTACATTTCATTGAGTACTTCCTGAGTTATGGAGCTTGAAAGTTAAGGCAAGACCGATCACTGATCCGGCTAACTAAGGCATACCACCGTTTGCTTGAACGAATTTTGTCCGTTCAAGCAAAGTCTCAATAACTCAAATTTTTTTTTTCTCAGCATAAACCACGTCTACCAATCACGTCCAAAAGTCGATCAATCAATTGTTGTTCGCTGAACGTAGTCATTGACTATCAAACGAATTATCTCGTATATAGTTAGCGTATGAAAAAAATCCTCAATTCCATACGCCAACCATGAATTAACTCGTATACATTTTTTTTATGAACATAAATTTTTATTATATGTTTTGGCATAACGTATGAGTTTTTTAGGTGACAGTTTCTGATGAGGAATGATTTTATTAAGTATTTGAAAGAATTTCATATAGAAAAAACAACATGCGTCACTAATATAGCTACACATATACCACAATATATATTTATACTGAATATATTATTTAAAAAAGATAAAAAAATTGTTTTATTAAATTGATTAAAACAAAACGTGATATCGAGCTGGATTCGATATACTCGTATGACCGAAGAGGAAAGTTAACATGATATATTGCGAATTTAGGCCTGATGAGATTCACACGTGAATTCAGCGTGCCAATTAACGTGTTAATACTTTGACAGCCACATTTATTTCGGAAAATTTTTCAACTATCGCCCACAGAATTCGAGAGCTCGCTTACACAGTATCTAAGAGAACAAACATCATGAAAAAAACTCATAACTTTTTTTATAAGTAATATATTTACACAATTTTTTTACAATTATACTAAAATTCTAGGAAACTCAAAAAGATAATCGATTTTTGGACCATCTTGTACGTAAATTTGTAAATTCAGTATTGTTTTGGAAATATCTTTATTTTTGACATGTAAATCCTAAAATGAGATTACATAGTGTTCAAGGAAAATAAATTGTATCAATACATTTTATACATGATTTAACAAAGAAAGATATATTCCTATTATTCAAAAATAATTTTCATGAATGGAAAGCATAAAATATTGAAATAGAATATAGAAAAATATTAATATCCATTTAAAACTAATATATTTAAATTAACAATCACTGTTAGAAGAACTTGAAAGTCTTGAATTTCAACGATATTATAATTTTATTTAAATGTTATAATGGTCTTATAAGAAGTACAATATGACTATTGTATGTCTTCTTCCGACATTTAAAAACATATTCTATTTCAATATTTTGTGCTTTCCATTCATGAAAATTATTTTTGAATAATAGGAATATATCTTTCTTTGTTAAATCTTTCTTTGTATAAAATGTATTGATACAATTTATTTTCCTTGAACACTATGTAATCTCATTTTAGGATTTACATGTCAAAAATAAAGATATTTTCAAAACCAAAATGTTCTGCGTAATATCACATTTGTCAAGTGTCGATATCAAGAAATATTTCTTTATAAGGCGATAGCTTTATATTTGGCAGAATGAAGTTACGCGTGTAACAGTCATCAAAGTGTTGACAAACAATTCTTCAGACTTTAGATTTCAACCACTTTGAATCCCTAATAAACGAACGTGTCGTTCTTGGAGCAAAGATCTCATTAGGAGTGAACGGTCGATTGTCTTATCTCACGTTTTCAGACTATCACGTGCGACTGCGAAGCTACACCGGCTTTGCAGCTGAAGGCGTTTCGGCAACGGGGCGATAGGCTAGATGTCAATCATTATCGGGTCAACGTCAACCGTTTCCGTGCTCGATTAAACGTCGTCTGCATCACCGAGAAACTGCTAGTCGATCTGAAATGCGACGGTTGGCCGGAGGTATGCAAACAAACGCATAAAATCCCATTGTTGGTGGATTTCCGCTGATGTAATGCGCAATACTTCCGTCATTACAATTGTAACTTTTTGCTATTCATTCCTGGGCCACGATACACGTGTTAATGCAACGACATATACAGGGTGTCTTGACTTAAATATGCATGGTAGATAGAACTCGTCAAACTAAACAGAAAACTCTTCTACCATTTTGCAAACAACCACGATCATTTTTGAGATATTAATTAAAAAAGATTGGCGAATCAGTGCGCGCGATACGATGGGACGAACTCTGTCAGACAATCCTGAAACATGTATTATGTTGATAGTTTCTAAACAATAACGTATATCAAATGACGGTGTAAAACGGATTAAGATTTATGGAATAGAAATTTCCATAAATGTAAGACATAAACTTAAGCTGAAGAACTAACCAGTATATTTTAGCTTTAGATTTATATATTACAACTGATTGAAATCTTGATTATACTTCTGCTAAAAGGCAAATTTATCATCATATATTCTGTTTGTTTCTTCAGTTTAAGGGGGGAAATCACTATAAAACATCAAAAATAAGGGAATTTTCGGGAATTTTTTTGAAAAATGTACTTATCCAATCGCTTCCCAACTTTGTAATGTTTTTGCTTGTGTGTGCACATTAAAGTATTAAAAAAATATTTTTAAGTTAAGAAAAATATTTATAAATTGTATGTAGTGAAAGAAATTTTGAGTGTCGCGGCAGAATTGGCGCAAAACGGTGTGCACTCAGGCTCCTGTTGTATTCGTCTGAAACCAAAATAGGGAAAAATTTTTTACTCTTTATGGACATAATTTGTCGATGAACCTAAATAAGTTGAAAATAAGTTTTGTAATTGACAAAAAAGCAGCTCTTGAATCAAAAGTTCGATTTTTATTCATAAAAATCCATCTTTATGTATGCGAAAAAATTGTTTAAATAAATAATGTTATGGATTTTATAAGTTCATCGACTAGCAAATATAATAAACTAAATATATATAAAAAGGCAACTCGATTGGTCAAATAGTTTTTGAATTATCTTGCACACCAGTTTGAAAGAAGTCATTTCGAGAAAAACACGTTTAAAGTTTCAGGTATAGAAAATTGGAAACTTACAGCTGCTTTCTGCTAATCCACTATTCTTGCCCCATACAGCAAACCTTCCGCTTCTTCAAACAAGTTATTTTGCTCAAGTTGGTGTTGTTTACTTGCTATTCGAGCCTTTTTACTGCAACTTAGGCTGCGGCGTTCCTGTCTCTTTATTCGCTCGGCATCCTTACTATCAGTATATAACTTACATAGAGGCCCAATTTTAATTTCTAATATTTCCATTATCTTCAAAACAGCAAAGTAGTCTTCATTAAATATCCCAGCGGCAATATAGGTGGTAATTTTGATGATTTTAAGGCCAGAATGTACATGCTTTGGAGTTAACCGCTAAATCGTACTATTAAAACTTTTATTCGCATTTTTTTGTGTGCCCACTTAAACACTTTTCTAATAGATCTTTCTTAGAATGGTTTTTTCTGTTTTTTCAAACGAGTTTTTCGAAACAAAGCCGTTGCGAGTCACTGTGCGTTCAGACCCGCCTCATGTACTCGTACATGCATACGAAAAATAGTCCTGTATGACTATTTAGATTTTGAATTTCAAAACCAAACTTTGGGAATATATTCTATACATATAGTACTATTAATTAAAGTAACAAAAAAATCAATTTTTGTAATCCTTTATAGTGATTTCCTCCCTTAAGTTTATGTCTTACGTTTATAGTTACAGAAATTTGTGTGAAACACAAAGAAATACCAAAAAATGCATGACGAAATCTAGAAATATCGATAACGCAAAAACGATCATCATTGTCCTTTTCGGATTTTTTGTATGTGTAGATCTTATATGAATGTGTTCTGTTTTGCTTTACCATGTGTTTAGCGGAAAATATAATCATGTATATATAGAAATTTTCCTGCAAATCTTTTGCATACTTTTAAGCTTTTAAATTCAGTTGTAAATTCAGGAAAAATGATTATGCACAATCGTATAGAAAATAATATATGATTATAAATAAATTATATATGAATTTTGTCTTTGTACAGAGTCACATGTGTAATCATATACAGGGTATCCCATTACTACCGCATTATCTCTTAAGGGCGGATTCCTGAAGTAATTTGAAGAAATCCTAATGCAAATATGTTGAGATTACTTTTCAAATTATAAACGAAAGTTGACCTATTATACTAGCTAAAGTACGCGCACTTAAGTACGGTACAACACAGAGTGCTATAGATGCATGCACATGTCGCTTCTTTTCCGAATATTATCCTACGAGCCCCTACTTCATAGATAAAAAATCAATGCTTTTGACATATGCGTATTATGTGTATTAATTAATTAATTACTTCGATTTAATTTATTTTAATAGTTTACAAGAAATATTGATCGATTTACTGATATATAACAACCTTCTTTATCATAAGTGAGAATTTGCATAATATATGAAATTAGTTGTAAATCTCTGAAAGAAACGTCAAACACAGCTTATTGATTCCCATAAATGTATTGTGTGATATTTTATTCATAACATTTTGGCGAAATTATTATTATTTGCGATATGTGTATTTAAATGATAGAAAAGGCAGATTATTATTACATATGTTGTTATTGTATGGAACTGTATCAATATTTGGAAAAGGAGCGAAATATGCATGCACCTGTACCACCTGTGTGTTGTACCGTACCTGAGCGTGCGTACTTTAGCCAATATAATTGGTCAACTTTAATCGTTTATAATTTGAAAAGTATTATAGCCTCGACATTTTTGCATTAGGATTTCTTTCTTCAAATTACCTCAGAAATCCGTTCTTAAGAGATAATGCGATAGTGGTGGGACACCCTGTATATTCATACGGAAAAAAAATTATAAATGAACATGAAAGAAGAAAGAAATTGTTCCATTCAATTAAACGTTGACATCATGTGCTGCCAAAAGCATAAGCATCGATTATATTTATATAATCGTATTTTTGTTGTTATGACTTACATGATTTTTTCTTTTATACTTAAAAAATTAAAAAAAAATATGAAAAAATGTTTCCAATAAAAGTTATAGAATATCGAGGAGAAAAAGATAGTAACATTTATTTGATCTTAGAATGACGTTAAAAATTTCTGTCAGGAGGTCACGTATATGATTATATACGTAACTTTAATTTTTTTAATGGAATTATATGATTTTTTTCGGCATAAATCGATTCCTTTGGTCATTCTACGTACGAAAGTACTGAGATAAAATCATCGAAAAGTGAATGCTTCTCGAGATATTTTACATTTTATTTTGTCATTGTTCAAAGAATGAGATGTCTCGTAAACTATTTACTTTTTTACCATCTCAATACTTATGTACGTAGAATGACGAGAGAAATCGATTGGTAATATTAATCTTTATACACTAGTGCATCAATAAATTTGTAAAATATACGGAATTTTATTTAAAGTTTCTGTATATATATATTTTTTTATAACATATGAATTTGATTTTACCAGTTTTTCCACGTACAAAAATATTAAGATGAAGTGGTTGGAAAGTGAATAATTTTACGAGATATTTTATATCTTTTATTGAAAAATAATAGAATAAAATATAAAATAACGCAGAAGATACTTTTCGGTAATTTTATTCCAATACTTTTGTACGTTATATTATATTTATAAATTTTATATTATATTATAAAATATTATATAATTATATATTAATTATATTATATAATATTATATAATTTATATTATATTTATAAATGATCAGAGGAATTAGTTTATGCTGAAGAGACTACATGATTTCATTAAAAAATTTAATGTTTACTCGAGCAGGACTCTTTTCAAAGTCATTAAATATTACTATCTTTTTTCTTTCTCGATATTCTACATTTTTGTTAGAAACACTTTTTCATATCTTCCTTAATTTCTGAGATATTAAACTGTTATGTTATTAAAAGTTATGTAGGCCACATTGTATAATTATACGTGATTATATTTCTGGTCATACATACATACATACAGGAACAAAATCCATATATGATTTTTTCGTCTATATTCGCCGTTGCCAGAAGATTAGGATCTTAAAGGAGAATTTACACTTTGACAAAAAAATAAAAAGTGAAAGGCAGAAGCCAATTAAAACTCGCGTTGGTGGTCAGATGATAGTCAATAGTTTCTGTTTCTTACTTTTTTGCTAAGGTATGAATTTTCCCTAATCGTATCTTTTCAGATTGTCCTACAGAATTGACATGCGTACAGATTGAACAATTTTCTTTAATATCTAAAAAGAAATATTTCGGTTGTTCGCAAAACCGTAGAGGACATTTTTTTAATCTGATGAGTTTTATTTGCGTATGAGCGTTATTATGTTTATATATAACTCGGAAACAAACATTTTATATAATTATAAAAACATATATGATTATATATATAAGTTATATATAATTATATATAAACCATGTATAAATTTGATCTTTATATATATAATTATATGTATAATCATAGATAATTGTAAGGGTGAGTCAAAAGTCCCAGACCAGTGAAATATCTCGAAAACTAAGCATTTCCGAAAGAAATGTTTCCTACAAAAGTTATAAGGTTTTAAATGATCTATTCACTGATCTGGTCAGTCTGACCTTGGATAGCGTCGCCATAGTCAGGTCAAGGTCAATTTTGCTTTTAGAAATATATATTTTTATTGCGGAATTTATTCTATGTAAAGAAACGAACAACTTTTATTTGAAAAATTTTTTCATATAATTCCTATTTTTTAAGATATTTGCGGAAATATCTACAAAATTATTGACTTCAATAATTTCTTACTCCAATTATATCAATTTTACTGAAAAATGGCAAGAGATAAAAATTGGTTTTTTTTATCTCTGAGAATTTTTTCAGAATTTTTTATTAACTTTTTAGTATTGTATTTTCTTGTATTTTCTTGAAGTACTAAAAAATTAATAAAAAATTCTGAAAAAATTTTCAGAACTCTATGAGACAAAAATAAGCAATTTTTATCTCTTACTATTTTTCGGTAAAGTTGATAGAATTCGAGTAAGAAATTATTGAAACCAATAATTTTGTAGCGATTTCCGCAAATATCTTAAAAAATAGGTGTCGTATGAAAAAATTTTTCAAATAAAAGTTATTTGTTTCTTTACGTAAAATAAAATTCCGTAATAAAAAAAATACATGTTTCTATTTAAAAAGCAAGGTTGACCTTGACTTGACCTTGGCGACGCCACCCAAGGTCAAACTGACCAGATCACTGAATAGATCATTTAAACCCCTACAACTTTTGTAAGAAATATTTCTTTCTTTTCGGAAATACTTAGTTTTCGAGATATTTCACCGGTCCGGAACTTTTCACTTACCCTGTATGTGTCTATACGGAAAAAAATCCTATTGAATAAAAGAAAAAAAGAAATAATTTTATTCTATTAAACGTCGACATCATATGGACTGCTAGAAACATAAGCATTTATTTCGATTTGTACAACAACATTTTTCTTGATATATAATAATTGCGCATATGATTATATATTGCTATATAGAGACAAAATTCATGTATAGTTATTTTTTCTCAGAATATCCGGACACCCTGTATAATGTATATGTTTATGTAATCGGCGTCGTTTTGCGCTACACATACGCAGGGAGAAAAATATTGAACACTTCGTAACGTGCGTTTTCTTGACGAATATCGCAGGAATCGGCGAGAAAGTGAGAAATAAGAAATCGGCGCGTGCTCGATGAAAGGATATTATTTACTGCGTTTCCGTATCAGGTGAAGGTCTCTCTGGCGGCGGTGGGCACAATAAAGAAAGATCTGGACGAGAGCCAGTTGCAAGAAGTGGTTACGGAAATCGTGGTGGGTGCTCTGCGAGGCACTAACGTTCACCTCAATCTTTCTCAATACCCCACCTGTCCTCGATTATGGAGAGAGCCACCTCCACAGCCGGGCTTCTTATCGCCCATACACTACGACAGCATGGTAAGCGATTGCCATTGAGCAGCGATTGTTTGATTAAACGTGTCTGATTGTAACAAGACAGAAACAACGCGTATATTACATGTTACTTATCGAATTAAGGCTTCTAGTCTTTCGCCGTGATTATCTTGATTGATAAACACGTTACACACGAAATTCTTGCAAAGTACGTTGAAATAAAAAGTCACGTTTGTAAAATGGCGCTTGTAACAGATCGATATTTAAAAAACACGGAAAACCTTTTTCTTTAATAATATATGAGTTGTAAAAATAAACAACAGCCGCAAAATTAATGTGACATATGACCTGCTTTCTGGTTACGTAATTTCGTCACGTAAATTTTATCGTTGGATTGATCGTTGGAGTAAGTTTTCAACATATTTTACAAATCAATCGATATGGACGTGTTTTTTCATTGCAACATTTTATTTTGTAAGGACTTCGAGTGTACGTTTTCTCACTTTTTACGTGACGTTCTAAGATGGTCACGGCGAAGAAACGATAGCCTTAAAAGTTGAAGAAAAGAATCAAGAAAATAAAATTGAACAGAAGAAAAAGTAAAGGATCTTCTCATTGTGTGTACCTTTGAAAAAGTATTTCCATTATTTTCAACATGTCGAATTAGCTTTTATCACAACGTTACTGTAATAGCTCGTTACTGTCGTATTCACTGTCGCGCTTCGTTCGTAGAACGTCTCGAACTCGATGCTACAGCCCCCGCTTCAACGTCTTCAAGCGCACTCCGCGACCTCGCCAGCACCGATGCAATATGTGCCCGGCGAGAGGCGGCTGCTCGTGAAGGTCGTGAGGGCTGCCGACCTCGGCGGCCAGCAAGGCGCCTTGGAACCCTACTGCGTGGTGGAATTGGATGAACCTCCGCAGAAGAATCAGACCGCCATAAAGAAAGACACCAGGAATCCGCTCTGGGATGAGGCGTTCCTATTGTGAGTCTAACACGCAATCTATTCACTCTCGTTGTCTCGTGCATTCGTTATTCGTTACTCTCTGAATTTCTTAGAGTGAAATCTCACTCAAAATAAATGAAAGTTCACTCGAGGCAATAGTGAAGATAATACTGTCACTCGGAATCACAAGAGAGAATGTTTGAATCGTACAGTGAATTAATAATATATACATATTATTAATTCATATAAATGAGTATTTTTTTAATCGATTTTCGCATAGAAATTTTTCAAGATTTTTCTATGTGTAGCATAGACTAGAATGTCCAAATGTATCCCATAATAGGCTGTTGGATACTCAATTCTCAATTCTCTTGCTTAAAAGATTTAATAGAATGAGATGAAGTTATATAATATTTTGATGAAATTTATTTTTATGAATTTTTATTTATGAGTTTTTTAAGCAAGATAGGGATTTCATTCTTATTCCAAACATGGAAGTTTGTTTTGAATCGGAACAGCAATATTATGAGAACTGATGTTTCTTTTATTATTGAGTAAAATCGGTAGTTTAAAATTGGTATAGTTTTTTTATGAAACCAAAAGATTCTACTTTTAAACTATTGAACTATTGATTCTACTTTTCAACTACTGAATTTAATAGAATAAAAAATGAAAACAATTTCAAATACTTTAAATATTTATACTTTTTAAATATTTACATCTGCAAACTATCAAACTGTGAAATTGCAAACTATGGATATTCAAAGTGTTTCATATATTCTATTCTAATGTAAAATGAAAATCAGAGAAAATCGTTAGGAAATATTGCAGAGAATAAACGAAATCTGTTTGGCTTTCCTATCTAAAATCGCGTGGTAAAACGTTACACTTTTAGCCTGAATCTACGTAGATTTCCCAATCAAGGATTCATAATTTTTTTCTTAATTAGATTTCTTAATTAAATCTTAATTAGATTTCAAGAAATTTTCTATGAGAGTGAGAGTGAACTCGTTACCGTAACGGTGGTGCACATAAGATTCACAGGTTAATTTTGAATGAAAATATTTGCTCGATGATTCAGAATGAAAAATTCACATTCTACAATTGGAAATATACATATCGTGCGATCAAATCCGAGTGACTCGGCTGCCACCCTACTTTTCGAGTGGAGTTTCATTCTAGAAGATTTAGAAAGTACATTATTCAGCGTGGTTATTGTTTTATCTCATTTTACATTATCGACTTGTCGCGTATTCTATAATTATCTCGCGAGAGGACGGTCTGTGGAGGGGCTGAAAGCCTCGATATTTGCATTCTCAGCGACGTAAGTCACAACACGACCGAGGTGTTGTTGGAGGTGTTCGATCACGTGAACAAAACCCAGAGATTCTTGGGACTGGGAATCGTGGGCGTTGAGGAGCTTCTCGCGAATCCGAGCCAACGACAGATCATACCTCTTCAGGCACGACCATACGAGGAGGAGGACATTACCGGCACCCTCACGGTGGAGGTAACCGTTCTTCTACAAACAACGTATCAATGTACATCAGGATTGCGAAAGTTATCGTTTAAAAGTAGCTCGTCACCTCCACTAATTAAAATAAACTAATTATACAAATAACTAGTTATCGTTATTCAAACAATTCAATAACGAGTCGTCACAATTTCCGTTACTTTCTTCGCCAAGTCTTGAAGATTCTTTTTGTTTTCATTTTTTACGATTTGCTTCTGTCCATCTCATGCATTATATATGCGCAAAATAATGAAAAAAGTAACGATTCTCTTCTTCGTCGTTACCGTTATTAACGAACAAAAATAACGCCGTTATCAAATGTTGAGTAAACGGCTTTATTGAGAAAAAAATCTAGTAACAGTAACGACGTTACAAGCAACACGTTACTTCCCAACTCTGACGTATACCACCATATAAACTCGCGGTTAAATGTTTATATAAATTATTCTTTCATCAAAAATTCCTCAACTATAATTCGTTGCTCGTGTTTCGCCGGCTCGTCCATGTCATCTTCGTACCTTTTACAGTTCCTATTTATCGAGGGTGCAGAGGTACCACAAATCGGGACCAAGCCCTACAAGGTGAAGGAGACGATAAAGCCGGTCTCGCCAAGTCGCAACTACAGCCAAACGAACATCATCAGCAACAATAGTCTGAATTACAACAATGGTAACAGTACACTTATCTTGTACGACTCTGCCGCCCAGTCGGAAGGGGGTAATTACCGATTACTTACTCATCAGGCGTGGTGATGTGTGTGAACACCCGATTGGATTTTCTTTCGTTAGTACAGTGATTTGATAACCCGTTTCCTCGACCTTCAAGACAGACCCACCGCCGATCGTCTTTCTATTTGCAATAGCGATTGAATGTCGAGTATTGGTTGAGAATCGCTATTAAGCGATAGAAAGCGAAGATTTCACACGGAGAGAACAGTTTGGTCGAATTAACCTGGTAATGATTGACCTGCACTGAGAGAAAAATATGGTTACTTTTGCCAAAACTATTTTGTAATTTTAATCACAAAAATAGTTAGAATAATCATCTTTCTAATAACATTAACTATTTAAATAGTAGAACTATTTAAATAGTTAGAATAACCATTGTTTTAGTAAGTGTTATTAGAAAGATCGTTATTCTAACTATTTTTGTGGTTAAAATTACAAAACAGTTTTATTGGGGGCAAAAATAGCCATATTTTTCTCTCAGTGTGGGAAAAAGTGATTATATCTGAATTTTTCGCTTCCACATGGTTACATATAATCATATGTAATTGTACAGGATATCTGATAATTAATGGCATACCTGTTGTATGCAGATAAAACGCACTGGTGGACAATCACGCATGATACGGTAGATGAGCTGTGATGTCTGTATGCATATATATTAAATCAAACTGAATAATAAATTCTCTACCATTATGCAAATGATCATGTAAATTTTTAGTTATTAATTAAAGGGAATTAGTGAATGACCGCGTACTACGCAGTGTAAAGTGTGATGGTAAGCACGATTTTCGTTATGTGCTTGCACATAAGTCAACCTGGACTAGAAAGTCCCTCACCATTTTGTAAACAGCCATGGATTTTTGAGTTGTTAATTAAGGAAGATTGGCAAATAATTGTGCACCATAGATCGCTAATCTTTTTTAATAAACTTAAGATTTTATGCGATTACTTGCAAAATAGCAGAGAAATTTTTTGCAACATGCAAACACACAACGGAAATCGTATTTACTATTACACCCTGCACCAAATAGCGCGTGATTATTCACTAATTTTCTTTCATTAATTAATAATAATCTTCTTAAATTGGTATTAGTTATATATAATTATAATTATGAATATAATAATTACATATAATTAAATATAATTATATATACTTGTGGCCATACATAGAGATAAAACTCATACATATAGGATACTCATTTATAATTATATATAATTATATATAATCACCTTTTCCCAAGGAAGCAAACGCTTTTTCGTTGAAGAAGATAGAGCTTCCGGCTTTTATGAATCAAATTTGGTTTTAAAAACCAGGAATTCTGTATCCTCCGAACAAAATGCGTTCGGTTCGGTTATTGTCAGGTTAAATCAATTAAACTTTTTTCCCGTGCACGAGCATCGTCGTTCTGCCCAGGTCGGTCCGCCCACCGAGCTTTAGTCGGACAACCAGTGCTGATCGGTCGTGATCGGAACCGGTTTAAATTGTGAACCCTCTTGGTGCGAAGTGCGTCTGTTGAGATTACGTTTTCTTAGTGCGCATCGAGACCGACTCTTCCCGATGTAGTTGGCATGAGGACAATTAGATTCTCACCGTCCGTTCGTCTCTTGTTCACAGCATCACGAATAGAATGCCAGCCGAGTGCAACGAAGTGCGAACGTTCGAAAGACACTTTATCCGCTAGAATCGATGTCATCCGCTTAACAGGCACACAGAGTAGTCGAATTCTCGCGCGTGTTCCTATCTTGTTGCTTTTTGCTTGGACAACTTCACTCACTCAATTCGGAGACGTAAAATAAACAGACATACATAGTAGTCGGATTCTCGCGCGTGTTCCTATCTTGTTACTTTTTGCTTGGACAATTTCACTTGCAATTTCGAGACGTAAAGTGAACGTCCCTATTGCCAGACATCTAATGACGGAGAGCCAAAATAGCTTCTTAATTCTTCATTTTCGTCAATTGTCTTAATTCTCAATTTTTGTCCTTAATATTTAAGGATATATTTAACACTTGGACGGGCCACGTATACGTGACTGTATTCTGTCAGCGGCCATCGCTTTGAAGAGAAGTATTTCTCGTTAATAATAATTTTTTATTATTGTAACATTATACAGAAGCTATGTGCAGTCAGATGGGCGGATTTATGAATCAGGGGGATGCCTGTTTCTTTAGATATCGCTTAAGCGAGTCATATGTTGGCGTCGATTTGAAATTTTCCTGAAATAAATGCAGCCGTCGAAATGTTAAACAAATTACAAATCGAAGTATTAAACTTTAAATCTATAAAGTCTTAATTTAGTATAATTCCTATACTTGCTTTCTGTTCAATAACGCTTTTAGGAGGTTTTGAATGAAAACACAATGAAAACACTTATCTATTTAATATTTATTTAGTTATTTAATTATTTGAAATTTAAAAGTTTATTATTAATACACAAAAGACATAAAAAATTGTTAAATAAAAAAAATTAAAAATTTTTAAGAGGATTAATGAATCATACACAATATCCAGATAGCCTAAATTGTTTGTTTCGATGGCTCAATATATTATTGATCCCAGATAGACAGGAATGTTAAACATAGCATGCAAACATGCAATGTATCTTTCGTGATGCTATTGCAACAACACAATGTGTTTAAAATATGTTTGCTTTAAGAAATATCCATTTATTATACCATAATTTTACTCAACATATTTACTTCTTATTACTACAATAACCCCGGATTGCGTTCTTCTCTCAACAGTAATTTTTATAGCACCAATTTTTATAATTTTTTTTATAAACTGATAAAATTTCTATTATATAAGGGCGCATTTTCGTGTAGGAGAGATCGGGACTATATTTGGCCATCGGAGTAAGTTGCAAAATCGATTGTTTCTACTGTTCTTTAACAGATTTTAAAACCAAGCAAACAAGGGTTTTAAAGACATCTTTGACATGTTTAAGAATCTTGCTTGCTTAATTTTGTAACTTCTTAGAAAATATTAGAAATAACCGGTTTGTCAACTTACCTCGGTAACCAACTAGTCCCGGTTTCCCTTACTTGTGGGAATCATTAAGCAGATAACATGCCGATATGATATCTAGTTATCATTAATATGATTATATATGCAAAATAAATTATTAATCTGCTCTTTACGATGAGTCTGTGGAGCAATAATTACGATTATTTATAAAAATTGTATATATTATATATTTTATAGGAACTCTTTTTTTATAATTTTTTAATTATCCCTCAACTGATTTTGGCAGATGTTAAATTTGACAGTTTTCAAGTTCTAATAATGCAAGATTATACGAGCTAACATAATTTTGTTATAAGATACGATTGTGTACATGAACTAATAGAAATAACCGAGTTAAAGAATTAATATTATAATAGAAGTAAAAATATTTGAGACCAATGATGACAATTTTCGATACACGTCTGAATATAGAGACATGTCCGGCAATTGATATTTTTTCTTTAATTGTTGACTGGAAAGAAGCGACTCAAAATGAGGAGATACGAAAATTTACAACAAATGTATAAAACATGGTAATGGACACTCTGTCTGCTCTGTCTACTCTAATACATCGATCGATGCGGAGGTTCTGGTATTTAAAGTAGTCGGCGCTTTAATAGGGGTAGTCAGAGAGTCGTAGATCTTATCAAACTGGGCGCGGCGACGTTCTCCATATTTTATCAGCGAAATGTTTTTGCAGACTACTTGACGAATGGCAACGTGGATTCACCGTTCAAGACCGGGCAGACGAATGGTAATAAAGGGACCTTGATAGTACACAGCCAGCAGAGGGTAAGATTGATTAAGCGTCAAAGCGCTGCGTTTACTATTCGCACTTTCCCGACCAAAGTGATCGTCTTTTGCGATCTTCTGTGACTTCTGCCGAAGCATGATTTTCGTTTGGTTTCTCTTGCAGCAGCCGGAGCGGCAGGTCGTGAAGGTAAGCAACGCACTATTTAATCGTTTGCCGATTCTCTTGTGCGTGGTTGTCGCGAAACATTATCTGACGCGGAAAAATAACAAAAAAGAAAGTAATAAAGCTCTGAGATGAACAATCAAAAGTAGTACTGTTTAAAATTGAGGTCAATATGAGTCGAATGTTGGATATTAGTGCGCGATAAACAAGAACAATATCAGAAAATACTTCAATTACTGAAGAATATAAATACGAATGTTTTAGTCCTATTTCTTAATCTTTTCTAAATTAAAAAAAGAATTGGATATATATTTCGCTTATCACGCACTAATGCACGGAAGAAAATTTCAGTTCGTGTAACTGAACAGAGAACAGATGAAAAACTCGCAGAAGAGAAATAATATCTTTGTTACTGTAACCGAAAATATTCGTTTGAACATTCAGCTGCATTAAAACTTGGTTGAAAGAACTGACCATGAACATTACCAGACATGATCAGAACAATTTTAATTCGCACCTCTATCCTAATTCCTCCAGTTTTTTATAAGGAGAAATGTGGCAACATTTATTTTTCTGTTTGGGCCTTACTCTGTTCATCAGAGGGCGCCAAAGGTAAAAAAAAAACGTTCTCTTATAACTTCACAGATGTCTATACTAAACTAGATGCGAACTTGCGTCGCATGCGAGGTTTCCGGTTGTATGCGAGAAAATGGCGGCGGTCCTGTATGTGTGACGCGTGTCACTCGTGTGAGTATCTTACAACGTACAATGCGAGTCAGCGTGGCCATTAAATTATTGTCGTTAGATAAAAAATGCCAGCATCTTATTGCATCAAAAATTGTTGCAACAAAAAATAGATGGTATTGGACGTTATTTGCTCTGCTCATTTTTAACAAAAGAATTTTATGATTAAACGTAGTGAAAATATGTGGCGGCCATTTTCTCGGATACACCGGAAACTCTATCGGACGCAAACCCTTATATGCTTTTAGATAGCTTGTTAGCAATCTAGTTTAGTATAGACATTTGTGTATAACCTATATTAAACAATAGCTGAAATGAAAAATTTCGTCGAATAGATTCAGAATATAGATATATTTTTAAATATCTGTGATTTATAGTTTATACGATAAAGGATGTTATAGATTAATTATTTATATGCACATATGTAAATATTGACAGATCATTTTGCATTACGCAGTATACACCACGAGGAAGTGAAGATACTTGACAAGATCTTTCGCTTGAGCTATCACTCAATATAAATTATAAGGAAACGTTTTTCCTAACTTTGGCGTTCTTTAGTAGGCAACCTAAACCTCAAAAATGAATATTATTATGTTTTTCTCATAAAAAACTGGAATAGGATATCTAGAAATCAAAATCACTCTGATCTCTCTTTCTCTCTCTCTCTCATGTCGATCTGGTCATGTTCATTGTGTGAGTTAAGATAATTGAGTAATTGGTTGAAACTTTCTATAGGAATCTTTCTGTTCCTAAAATCGAGTTTTTTGATCGGATCTCCAAGTAACAGAAAATTCAGTTACATTAACAGAATTATTTTCTCCGTGTATCCAGCGTTCGGCTCTTATTGGCTAATTTGAAATATGGTTGCGAAAAAAACATATATAAATACTCCACCTCGAAGCGATCGTCTTTCAACGTGACGCAACGGACGAACAGACATCTGGCATGCTGAAAGTGAAGATTGGCAAGCTGCGAATTTGAAGCGTTCGTTGATCAAAGCCCATTGCCCATCGCGCCACTTGCGTTCTCTTATTTTATACTTTAACACGAAGCGAGTACGTTTTTTCTGTTTCATGAAAGAATTAACCGTGGTTGAGTGCTGTGTATTTACTAATGTAACAGGTCGCTCTAACGGAGAACGGAAACTGGCAGGAGATATCGCCGGAGGTAAGTGGCCGAACGTGTGATTCGCGTTCTTCTGATCTTTGAAACGAAATCTAGCGATGAACAAAATAAGAAGCCGATATATTTGCGCCACGTGCAAAATTCTCAAATACGGATTCCTTGCAGCACGGTGTGAAGGATGTCAGCGCTACCTCGGGACCAGAAAGCACACCCAATTCCTCCAATTCGGAAGGTATGACTCTCATAGCTCCTAAAAATCGAATCAGAAATTTAACTACATACAGAAGCATTAAACTTGAGAAAAACGATTGTATATAATTATATAGAAAAAGTTGAATATAATTATACTCAAATTGTATATAATTGTATACAATTTATGTATAATTGTATACAATTGTAAAAAGTGTATATAATTCTATTTAAGTTAATAATTAGAAAGAATCGGCGAATTAGAGACGATCGTATGCATTCATTCACCAATCTTCTTTAATTAATAACTTAAAAATCTATGTGTTATTTGTAAAATAGTAGAGGATGTTTTCGTTCAATTTGACCAAATTTACAAACACACGATACAACCAACATCGTTATCACAGCTCATATATCGCATAACGCGCAATCACTCATTATTTTTCATTAATAACTTAAAATTTTAGATAATTGTTTGCAAAATGATAGATGATTTTTTTTCTTCAGTTTGACCTAATCTTACCTGTACATCGTGACACCTGTGCGTAGCGAGTTATTGATCACTTTGTGTATGACTCATGTGTAAATTTTATTATATATTCTCATATATCATCATATATCATATAGGAAAAATTCTATTAAATATAGGAGAAAAAAATATAATATTTTTATTTAATTAAATTCTTCAGAAAATCAAGTTTTAAATATTTATTAGACATAATTAAATAGAATATTAATTAAACATAATTAGATAGAATACTTATTAAATATAATTAAAAACAATATTAATATTACATAGCTAATTAGATAGAATATTAATATTAATATTAATATTACATAATTATATGAAAACTAGGTGAAAATAATTATTTTTTAATATGAAAAAACTAACATTTAAAAAATTTTTAAAATCTATTTTGTTTAAAGCCGAAAGATATTTAGAAAGCTATTAATTCAATTAATTTTTCCTTTGCGGCAAACTTTTCACAACAATTTTTTTCGTTTATATAAACAAGTTTTTTTTTTGTTTAACAACTCACTGAGAAACATACAAAAAATTGACCGATTTTCGTTCATAAAAGTTCATAATCTTTTCTTGTAAAATCTGCCATTTTGTGAAAACAAAATTTTTTTTAAAAATCCTATGTACAAACTTTCATATAGTGTCTAAAAATTTTTACCTCGTTGACTGCAGATTAGACTATACTGCAGACTGCAGACTATACTGAAATAATGATCTAGGCAGTATAATCATAGGTTTGTTCGAGTTGCTTATACTATTTACACTTTTACACCTAATATCCGTTGCACACTAGTGCACTCCAAACAACAACAAATTTTCCAAAATAGTTCTGAAGACGCTTTTAAGACGGAAGGACGTTATCAGAATATTTTTAGGACGTTCTTTGAAGGTGTGAGCTGTCCAAAAATACCTAATATCCAATAAGTTTATTCGCATTAATTGAACTTTTTACACTTTCACACTTAGTACACATTAAAGCCAGCGGCACACGGTGCTTGTTTTCGTGCTGAATTGCTTGCTGGATGGAAATACTCTGATTGGAATATTTTCTTTGATAATCTATGATTTCTTTGATTTCTATAATCTTTGATTGGTATATTTTCATCAATCTTCAGAAATGCACCAATCAGCAAGCAATCCAGCAATGAAAACAAGCACCGTATGCCGCTGGCTTTATTCTTTAGAGATTCTAAAAATGACGTCATGATTTCCGTTCGTGTTACGAGTGTAAATGCAATTTTGATACACTTTTTACATTTGGTCCCGAGCAAAAATGAAAAGTATATCAGAATTGCATTTATACTCGTAATATGAACGGAAACATGACGTCATTTTTAGAACCTCTAAAGAATTAATGTGTACTAAGTGTGAAAGTATAAAAAGTTCAATTAATGCGAGTAAACTTATTGGATATTAACTATTTTCAGACAGCTCACACCTTCAAAGGACGTCCTAAGAATATTCTGATGACGTCCCTCCGTCCTTAAAGCGTCTTCAGAACGTATTTTGGAAAAAATTTGTATTGTTTGGAAATATACTAATGTGCAACGGGCATTAGGTATAAAAGTGTGAAAAGCAACTCGAACAAACCTCATGTTTCTCAACAAAGGCCTTATTTTACAGAACCTAGTTCGTCACAAAACATGTTTTAAGTAATTAATAACATTAATAAAACACGCACTAAATATATGTCAAATAATATTTTAAACAATTTTTTTAATATGCTGTTATTTAAAAAAAGAGTTCCTGAAAATACTCTTTTTTTGCCCTTATGATAACGTTTCCCCTTAATTGGTTATCATAACTCCAAGTAAATTCACGCCATAAGTTTGCATAGATATATAGAATAGACTGCGCATTGCTGTAGGAGGAATGAAGTCAGCATTAGCAAAATAGGACAATAGATACTTTCCATATCTACTTGTTTAGTTGGTGGGGAGAACAAAGAAGAAGAAGACACGATCAATGCGTTTTCTCTTTCTATCACTGTATTTTATTATTTTTTTTGTTTCTTCAACATTGTTCCCTTCTAGAATATTGTGCAGCAGAGAAACCATATGACTTAGCATATCTCTGTCTTTAATCTTTGTCTTGTCATCAGCCGTCTCGTAGGAATGCGCTGTCTATTCTATAAGTCTGCGGTGAGTTTACGATTATCGTCGCGACAAGCATCATACCCGACACTGCGACAGACATGAAAGGATCTTTTCTTGGTTCATTTTATCCTCTTCTCGAGATTTTCGCGTCGATATTGACTGCAAGAAGATATTGACTTAATAAGCATTTCCCGATGTTCTTTCCCAGAGAGAGGAAGGACACGGAGAAAACGACGCGATTTCTTCGGCACGATCAAGAAGCGATTGAGCCGATCCAAAACGAGAAGTAGATCGGTGGGTCCCGAAGACGACATTAACCATGAGGACGCTCATTCGAGATCCATATCCGCCGACAGAGCCCGCGATCCTGGATCCGGTAAGATTTTCTGCGACTTCAGTTTCTGCGCTTTCCTTCCGTTATGAATTCAAGGTGTCAAGTGGTAGCGACGTATAGTTCTTATGTCATAGATAGGAAATTTGTAACACGTTGAATGCCATGGGAAATAACTAAAAAGCTTACATTTTGATCTTCTGTTCTGTTTCTATCGCGTCTGATTGAGTCATGAATGAAACTTAATTTATACGTAATATAATAAAATTAAGCAATGTATATATTAGTATATAATAATCACACAAAGTAACATTTATATTTTATCTTGATTATAAATTTATTATAATAATAAAATAATCATTATAATATATTTTATTTATATATGTTTTGATTATATATATTTAATTATATTATGTGAAATATACATTATGTTATATTATAATAATTTTGTGATCGCATCTTCGACAATTTTTTGATAGTATGATCAAATTTTGATAGTATGATCAAAGAGCTAATAAAACAAGTTTAAAGATACGTATATGTTGAAGTACATTTATCTACGTATCTTTAGTAATTCGGTCATTAATGAAGCTCTTTTATACACTGAGAAAAATTTCTGGTAATAATTATCCAGCCTATGTTATAATTACTACATTTAGTAAAATAGTATCAACTAAATATAAGAGATGAATATTACTATATGAAAGTTAATGTTACTAACAATTTTGTAATTATTACAACATTGGTAACATTTACCATTATTGGTTAATATTTACGAAATGGTATGATAAAACGCATTTGATAAGTATTACCAAATTTTTTTTTCAGTGTAATCAATAAGAATTATCACGGCAATCGACGTGTTAACGATCGTTAACGTGTTTGATATTCGTTCGAGGCCCACTCGATCACAATTTTTGTTATACGCAAGATAGAGGTCTATCGATCAGATCGTAGATTAACCCCTTATGTGGCAAGGATGCCATATGGCGTCCAATGCTTGGCCCAAAGTGGTAGCGATTCCATATGGCGTCCAGCATAAAAAATGTCTAATGTCATACAATATTGACTACCATTGATATCTGAGGGTTTTTGAGGTCACTGATTACGAATTTGATGTCAAATTCAAGATATTCAAAATGACGGACCCAACATGATGACCAAAATATTAAAATGTGATTGTTATGAAACTCAATATTTAGAATATCTCTTGTTCAGATCGCTGAATATGAAAATATAGTCCTAATTTCAAAATTTTTTTCCATTTTTATCTTTAATTTTTTTGTTTTTAATTTTAAAACAATTTTTTATTAATTTTTATTACATTTGTTTATTTGTATTAAAAAGAAAAAAGACGAAATATTTTACTCATGTTCAGAACGTTTTTTTATATGGTAAATTTCAAAACATGTGATGCATAAAGGTACATTACATTCTTCGCAAATAATTGACGTATCTCTTCTCAAATTTTGACCCCATATTTATATTCAGCGACTTGAACAAGAGATATTCTAGATACCGAGTTTTATAACAATATTTTTCATATTTTGATCGCCATATTGGGTTCGCCATTTTGAATTTTAAAATTTGGATCATATATTCATATTCAGCGACTTGAAAAACCCTTAGATACCTGATGTCTTTAAAATCCGATCACTTTTTTGTCTTGCCACTTATGGCACGCATAGCGAAATTCTGCCTGCCACGTTTGGGGTTAATATCTTTAGACTTATCATCTTTCCCAACGTCTTACTGTACTCACTTGTGCACACTCTGTCTTGCTCACATATGTGTTACTCTCACGGTACTCGATCTTGGTAAGTGTCTTTGCAAGGTAGAACGTAGTGCGAAAGCTTCGCTTCTCAGTGACAGGCCCAATGCGACAATAAGGATAAGAAAATCTCGCCAATCTAATCTATATAATTTTCCAAATTTTATCAGAATAATTCCTTTGTCAGGTCCATGAGAACCGACGCAAGCTGAACTCAGCGAACGGAATTCCATTCTTTTTAATTATATTACTCAGAATATTACGGAAGCAACATATATTTATATTATCACATAATGCTTCCGTAAAATTCTTAGAAGCAAAAAAGAAAATGATTATAAGGAATTAAATTTATTTGCAACGTCAAACTGTATTGGTTCTTATTGATTCATTTTTTTTTAATCTATGAACTATTAATAATCATTGCTGATTAGTACCCATTAATCAATCATTAATAATTATTGTTTTTACTGTGTTTCGTGTCACTGATGAAGAATGCGAGTTCTCATCGGTCGTCCCTGACGAGTTTAGAGTCGTAGATTGCGTATACGCTTTTGATGATTTCTTATTAGGTTTAGCGATTGTTGGTCAATAAGCCTTATTCAACACGTTATCTACGTAATTTTATTACTACGTCAAGATAGTGTTAAACGCGTTTGACCTACTCACTTTATTCTTGCGCTTTACGTTTCTTTTTTATCGCATTTCTTTGTTTTATTTTGTTGTTCATCTAACATCGCCGCGTTTGACAAAAACTTATTCTGCCTCGTAGTGCATCTGTCGGTGCCAGAACAATCGAGACGATCGAGTCTGAGCGAAGCCTCGGGTATTAGCGGTACCTCAACGAGAACGTACGTTAACGAAGCTTCCACTCTCGTCCTTGAGACTTTGGAGAACGGCATAAAGAAGTGAGTGACTTCACCCTGTACCTAACATTCCGTATCTTTGTATCTTCCAAACGTGGTGCAGCGCGTTTTTATGGGTAAATATTCACTTTAGGGGAGTCACCTTTGATCACCTTGACCTTGACATATATTATAGAGGTCATCCTCCTGAATAACCTTCAGAAGGTTTTAGCCGTCGCTCATTGTTTGTTAAAAAGTTATTGATGAAAAAAGTTGGAAAAATATATTACAATTTTTCGATACTGTGTACCGTTAACGAGCAATATCGGATAATAATTGCAATATCGAACAACTAGCGGGGGGCTGCGTCCCCCGCACCCCTCTCAAAACTAACCTAACCCAACCTATCGTCACATTAACTCAAAAGTTGAACACTTTAATAAACAATGACTGACGCTTAATGTGACGATAGGTTGGGTTAGGTTAGTTTTTAGGGGGGGGGTGCGGGGGGCGCAGCCCCCCGCTAGTCGTTCGAGATTGCAGTACTTACTAAAAAAAAGTTGAACGTAATTTTTGCACACAGGGTATATTGCGCGGGTTTTATTTTGATCGTATGTACGATTTCAATGTTGATAATCATGTTATGATCGTGTCCTGACACACACTACCATTGTATGTTGTTGTGTTATGATCATGTCCCGACATACATTACCAGTGTATCGTGGAACTTAGCTAAAGTAAGATATTTTCATCATGCGCATTATTTAGCTGAATTTTTGTTCAAGCGAAAATATCATTATGAAGATCGAATCGATAAATTTTTTGAAATTATGGCTTATTTCTATCCACTTAGCGGAAATTTTACTGAATAAATTTATTATAAATATTGAATAAATAATTTTTTCAATATAATTTATTTATCCTGTGCACTGTTTACCTTATCTTCATGTACACTGTGTGCAAAAATTACGATCAATTTCTAAAACATTTTTTGTTAATAACTTTTTAACAAACAACGAGCGACGGCTAAAACTTTCTGAAGATTATTCAGGAGGATGACCTCTATAATATATGTCAAGGTCAAAGTGATCAAAGGTGACTTCCCTAAAGTAAACATTTACCAAAGATTATTACGTGATCTCATGACATGAGCACCAGATGCACATAAATGATGTACAAATTATATTGCAAATTCTTGATAAGATGTTGATTATTATTATTAAATGAGGTATTTTTGTGACATCATAACATGTCTACATTCTGAGGCGCACATGTGTCCGTATCGATATCTATTCTTGTCCTCATGTCTTGAAGATACATAAATACAATATGAGCTCAGAATGAACACATTTTCCTATCTGGGTAATCATAAAAACATTTACACGAAATGAAACATATTCATTTCGATTTCAGACACTACCTCGTACCACTTTCCCTCGCGCAGAAGAGCAAATGGAGGAAAAAGGGCACAAAGCTGCACATATTTAATGATCATACGTTTATCGCCAAACACATGCCTGGGTGAGTTACAACAAGATCCGTAGGTGGAATAGAGAGAAATGTTTCAAATGATCCATTTGAATGAAGAAAGAAAAAAAAAAAGAGGAATGTATCGCTCGTAAGAAGACGCCCAGTTCGAGACGATACATTTTCGTTGCCGTTTTCAGAGGAACGGTTTGCGAGGTGTGCAAGAGGACTCTCGCGCGAAGGCTCGGCAAGCAGGGCTACGAGTGTAGAGACTGTCTGATGAAGTGTCACAAACACTGTCACGTGAAAGTCGATATGACGTGTCCCACGTCCACCATTCAGAGCATCGAGTTGTAAGTTGCGATTATCGAATAAACTCTCTAACTCTAAATTTTAAGTTAACAAGGAAATCCATCATAGTGTCTCCCTCCGATTTCCATAAACTTTCAATAGATGCTTTCAGCGAACTCAACAATTGCACAACAATAATTTGTCAATGTAATTGGTATAGATATGGAATCTAACAGTAAGAACCAATAATCGCTTTAGACTTCTGCAATATGGGGAAACATTTGACCTGGCTTCCGGGTTCCGGGCCACGTTCTTTATGAATTCGTCTCCGACATTCCGCAAACGTTTCAGTTTACTTCTTCAGGAAAGGAATGAATTGAAACTGATTGAGTGAACTGGAATATTCACGAAACGTCGTGAACAAAAAAATTCATCAAAGACGCGGCATTAATGACCCGGAAGTCAGATTAAGCAAGTTAACAACATGATGCAGTCTAAGTGAAAATAAGAAACACATATTTTTTTTATAAAAGCTCGTATGTTTGTCAGAGGATAAAATACTCGATTGAAAAAAATCTGTTTTTACACGTTTTAATAGATATTTTCAAAATGATAAAAGATATAAAGTGTACGGAGAAAGTATTATAGTAAATATTGTAATAAAGAAAATATTGTAATTATATGTTGTAATTATATTTAATTATATTTCTCTACAATAGTTTTTATAAAGATAGATTGTATTGAGATTGTAATATAAATTACTATAATAATACTAAAATTTGAAATCTGCTTGACATATGATATAAAAAACATTCAAAAAATTACAATAATTTTTTTATAAAAAATCAAACATACATTACAATTTTAACGAAATATATAGTAATTCCGGTCATAATTTTGTTCCAAGATTAAAATTTTATTGTAATTTTTACTATTTCTCTCCGTATGCTTTAGAACGATATTTTTAAATTCATAAAAATATCATACATATTTATATATATTTTTAATAAATTAGTTTATAAAATTATCTAACGAAATATATTTCTTATTTTGACCCAAATTATAATATATTCAACACATATGAGAATCGGACGGAAAATTCAGTCTATTGTGAGTTTCCTTGTAAATAAAATATTCCAAGCTCTAATGAAAACCATTTTGCCCGAGATTCCCGTCTCGTTGGAGTGTTCGTTAGAGCCTGGAGTCGTGACATACGAAAAATCGATTTATCGCGACTATGTCTTTCTACTTATCTCTTATAAAGATGTGTTTCAACACTTCCTAATACTATCTTTTTAACCCTTTTCGCGTAAGGTCCCTACTGCCAGTACTGAGCGAATAGGATAGGTAAGATCACACAGAACAGAGTTGTGAGATGAGCATTTGCTAGTGTGGTATCGCTAGTGATAATCGCGCATGAGGAAATGCCTGTCCCCGGTAGATCGATCGATATACGTCCGTGCGATTTATGGCGTGCGTATGCATACATACGTCGGGCGCGATTAGCTTGAGAGAATACATCAATCCTCGCTTGCTCGCATTACTCATCCAAATTGTTTGCCCCACTCTGCGCATTGCCGCGATTGCTGATCATTATCTTCGGAGAGTTATCGATGAAGCATGATAGAATGTATGCTCGTCATGCGTGCGTGTGTATGTGTGATTAATATTTCCAGGATTGGGAAAGTTACTTTTACAAAATTAATCGTTACCGTCCTTCACTATCTATTGCAAAATAATTTGTTATCGTTACTGTACTTCGAGAAATATATAACAAGTCGCTACAATATTTTTTTCACCAAAGTCTGCAAGACTTTTTCTTTGTTGATTCGCTGCCGACCATTTCCTATGTATATATATTTTGCATACGCGAAGTAACGACAAAAATATTTTTATTTTAACTTTCAAATTTGGCCTTTATACTTGTAAGTCGTAGATTTTTTATAACAATTAATTAATTTATTCTTACTTCAGCACAAGCCAAGAAGTAGAGACTTAGTTTACAATTCCTGCCTTATCTCATATATTTATTTCACGCATACATCCATTATATTGCTCGTCTCTATCTAACTTAATCTATTGTAATTTCTTCTATATCTATCTAATTCTAACTTTATACGTTATATCTCCTCGTCCATTACACTTTCCATTTCTTTATCCTTTCTCTGTTTCTCTTCCCTTAATTTCTTTGCTTTTTCTTTTTCTGTCCATAATTTATTAATTGCCCATCCTTTTTCCAATATATTTCTTCATCCCAAACCCTCTTTATTCTTTCTTCATTTTTTCCCTAAATCTTTAAACTTTCTTTCTATTTCACATTCTTTCACGAAGTAATTTATACTATCTCTATCTTTCCCAAACAAAATACAAATTTTAAACTTTTTATTTAACCAATATTTATTTATTTCTTTCATATTATCACATCTAATCCTTATTAGAGCTCTAACTCTCCTTCCATATCCTAGATTTTTTATATTATATTAGTACGTTTTCAGAATTATTATTACAAAATATCTTCTTTGATTTTGTCATCCCAAAAATAATGATAATGATAATGATAGTGTTCCTAAGAATACTATTTCATGTACGTATAAATTAGGTTAAGGTTCTGCTATTTTTAGGGCGGCCATATTGGTTTGACGTCAGAAGCAAGAAATGACATACCGAAAATTAGTTGCATTTTATCGCTTTATTTTTTACTTTTCCCTGAAGAACTAAATATTTTCCTAATCCTGAAATCTGTAAAAAGTACAGCAAACTCAGATATCTGACAAAGATATATTATGTAGTATCGTAAAATAATTCCTGAAATAATGTTACATTTTTCGGTTGTCACGGTGACAGCTATCACATTTGTGACAGCTGATTTGAGATCAGTATGTATGAACATATTTAATTTCTCGATTTTTACAATGTATCATCAGTACCACTGAGTTTGCTGCACATTTTACAACTGTGAAGTCACGATAATATATACACTTCACGAAGAAATTGCAAAATAACGCGATAAAACGCAACTAATTTTCCGAGGTGTCAAGCGAGGCCTAGCATGAGCCTGGCCTAGTGTTAGCCAATCAGCTACGCTGACACAGTTATTTCGTGTTCTCGACATTGCTAGATGCCACCGTCAATACAGATTTTCTGTGGCGAGATAGCAGAGCCTTAAAGAGTCACAATAGGTATAATAAGCTTTAAGCCTTAAAAAATTGACCAATCACAGTCGATTATTCTCCTCAAATTTGACTGTGATTGGTCAATCTCTTAAAGCTCAAAGCTTACTGCACCTATTGTAGATCAGGACAAACTGAACAAAAAATTTTCCTACCATTTTGCGAACAATCACGTAACATATTTAGTTATTAATTAAAGAAGATGGGCGAATGATCGTGATACTGTGAGTGGAGTGCTGTAGAAGCAATGCCTGGATTACGCTAATTAGCATTCCCCTCTAGTTTATCACCGCTCGACGTTCGTCGCTCGCCTAAAGCCCGTGTTAAGCCCGTATCAGACTATAGATTAGGATTGAGATTGAATTGAAAATTCGCCAATCAGAGCAAAGTTCACCAAACTTGAGCTTAGTGAATTTTGCTCTGATTGGCTAAATTTCAATTCAATCTCAATTCTAATCTATAGTCTGATACGGGCTTTACACTACAGATTGGAGATAGAGGATTGCGGATTGAAGATTGGAACTTGACCAATTGGAGCCAAACAGGCCAGGAACAAAATGCATTGATTCGTCGAAATCTAATCTTCAATCCGCAATCCTCAATTTCCAATTCGTAGTGTGACACGGGCTTAAAGACCAAATCACACTAGCAATTGGCGATTGACAATTAAAGATTAGATTTTAACGAATCAACAAACTTCAGCCTTGGCTTGCTTTGTTCCAATTGGTCAAGTTCCAATCTTCAATCGCCAATCGTTAGTGTGATTTAGCCTTAACGCAATGTTATTCTATTCGAAAGTTGAACGGTGATATGCTAGGGAAGAGTCGGGCACTATTCGTATGTACTTGACCGGAAAAAAACTCCGGTTGGAAAACTATTCTTTTAAATCGTTTGTATTTCGTATGAAAAGTTTTAAAGTGCAATTGAAAAGATTTGTGAGTCATTCTATTACTTGTAATTAATTGTTCTTTTTTGGACCATGTATTTAGCCGGAAATAATGACCGAAGGTAAATTAAACAAAGGTTCGGTATAGTATCGTTTGTATTTCGTATGAAGAGTTACGAAGTATCATTAAAAAGGTTTGTGAGTTATCCAGATAATTTTAATTAAATATTAAAAAATCATATATTTGGCCGAAATATCGATCTCAAGCGCTGCTGTGGAAGTACCGTCAGGCACGATCGGTATACTATCTAGTATTTCAATATTTCTGGTTCTTTTTCGGGTAATTATGTATAATGAAGCCTTTTTCGAATTTTGATATCTCTTTTGGTAAAAATATTTTTCGGACTCCCCCGATTGATTATCAATGTTGAAGTCAAAATAAATATTTTTACCAAAAGAGCTGCAAAAAAGTATCAAAACTCGAAAAAGGCCTTATTATACATAATTACCCGAAAATGAACCATGAGTATTGAAATACTAGATAGTACACCGATCGTGCCTGACGGTACTTCCACAGCAGCGCTTGAAATCGATATTTCGGCCAAATACATGATTTTTTAATATGTAATTATTTGGATAACAAACCCTTTTAATGATACTTCGTAACTCTTCATACGAGATACAAACGATACCATACCGAACCTTTGTTTAATTTACCTCCGGTCATTATTTCCGGCTAAAAACATAGTCCAAAAAAGAACAATTAATTACAAGTAATAGAATGACTCACAAATCTTTTCAATTGCACTTCAAAACTCTTCATACGAAATACAAACGATTTAAAAGAATAGTTTTCCAACCGGAGTTTTTTTTCCGGTTAAGTACATACAAATTCGGGCGCTGGCAACGTTGATTAGTGCGACCCAGACATCACATCTACAGCACTCTATTCACAGTATCACACGCTAATCATTCGCTAATCTTTTTTAATTAATAATTAAAAATTTCATGTAGTTGTTCGCAAAATGGTAGAGAAATTTTTTGTTCAGTTTGACCTAATGTACACGAAATGGGTATATTATTGTTATATAAATATGACAATAATAATGTTATATATATATATATATATATATATATATACATACCAGATATCCTGTGTATAAATTATACATATGATCTATATATGAATTTTGTTTCTATATATTTATTTCTATTAATGTCTTATGTTGATTTCTATTAATCTTTATCGGATCTTTTAAGCAGGACAATCACATATAAACATATATACATAATTATATATGTCCATATGAAAAGAATGCTGTATGAAGAGAGAAAAAAATAGTTTCATTTTAAATGTCGACATCTCTCTCGTGAGCTACCAAAAACATAATCATTTACTTCGATTATATTTATACAACAACATTTTTTCGGTGTAGATATATATTTGTGATATGGGAACATATTATACGATTATATATATATAGCCAAAAAGAAACAAAATTCATATATAATAATTTTTCCTGGAAATGAAATTGATATTTTATCGAAATACCCTTACGAAAAAAAAAAAAACGAAAAAACCCTCAATTTTGGGTGTAAACACCCAAAAACTGGGGATAAACACCTAAATTTGAGGGTTAACACCCAAAATTGAGGGTTTTCGTATTTTTTTCGTAAGGGTACTTATGATCTCTACTGATGTTTCACTTCTTGTATTATTTTATTTTTTGTAATATTAAAGAAGAATTATTTTCGCATGTTTATGAAATAGAATTGAATTGATTCGAAAAAAACCAATTTAATTTGAAAAAAGCAATTATATTCATTAATATTACTCAAAAAATGTAGTTGTGTTACCTTTACCATTAATAACACTGAAAGAATAACGCTGCGACGTTTATCGTAACAAGTTGCTACTGAAAAAAAACTAACTTGTGACAGTAACAGCGTTACGAATAACGTGTTGTTTCCCAATCCTGTTTCTACTTTATTCGAGGGATTGAAATCGGTGTAATAAATTTCGATAATGGGTTCGAGCTTGTCGATGTTGTGAACACGCGAAATATATTGATCCAAAGGCAAATGGAATAGCGTAAGATACTTTCTTTTCTCGTACTCGAATACGGAAAAAAGCTGTATGAATAAAATTGGTCAACAGCGCCATAATTGCAGGAAGTCTTTCTGATTTAATAGTGATATTATTGCAATTATTAGATTAAAAAAAACATGTATCACTTTCTATTAAATTCTAGCAGGAAGCTTAAGTATCAAAAACACAATAGGAAGTTCTTTTTAAATGTTTAAAAAATACCGAACTAATGTTGTTTATTTCTTTCGTAATAATTATTGATCCTCCGAAATTGGACAGTTTTGTTTTCTATTTTATTTTTACGAATACGACAAACTTATTGCAGTCGTCTAACAACACATCACACATTATTTTAATAAAATAAACCAGAATATTCTTAGATAGACAAAAATGCTGAATGTAGCGTGCATGTAATATATACTTTGTGATGTTATCACAAATATCATACGTATAAAATATGTTTGTTTCAAGATATAATACTCATTTATTATGCCATAATTTTAATAAAAATATTTGCTCTTATTATTACAATAATTCCAGATTAATTACATTCTTTTCCCGACAAGATAAACAGCAATTTTCATAGTTTTATCCTTAAAAAATCCTATAAATATATTAATAGAAATATATACAAATTATATTGAAATACTATATACTTTTACCTGAATTTATAATTTCTATGAGAAATTTTATGATCTCTCAGCTCATAGAAAAGTTATCAAACTCTCTCTTTTTATAGCGTAAAAAACAAACTTGCTTTTATAATGAGTAAATATTTATTTGAATATGCCTTTCTATGTAATTTTATCGTTTTTAACTAAAAACACTATTTAGTTATATAGATTTTTCTTATGTAATTATATCAGATCTTTTAAGCAGGGCAGATGTGTGTGACATTTTTATATACTGAAAATTCTTATTGTCTAAAGACGCACCTTTGCGTTTTTGTGCTAGTCACTAAGAAAATTATAGTATGTAGATTCCTTTCAATAATATTGCTATTGAATCTAGAATCCTGTGCCAATTACGATATTCTTGACCAATTCTATTGATACAACAGCATTTCTCCCGTGTAACATTGCAAGTCGAGCTGATAGAAATTACACCGATACCGACCCCTGTTTTATCTCCCCTTTATTCGACATTCAGATTCGCAGAATAACGGAAAGCAGTTTCACATGCTAATATTTATTATTTTTTAGGACGTACATGAAGATTCCTCAGCTCGAACGAAAACCCTCGACGCGCCGCCTCTGTTGACGATAACGTTATCGCGTTATGCGACGCGACCTACTTTCTTGCGACACATTGCACAGCAACTACTACTTCGGGAACGATGATCTTCATTCGTGAGAGGCATGTTTGGCACTTCAGTTTCTTCTAGGCTCATCATCACGTTGACCACTTTATTCGCGCTCCGCGAATTTCTTCCATTTACGAAACGAAGGGACGACTGTTCCCGCTCGAAAGGAGTTTGCGTTTACGCAAACGCCTTATTTCGATGGCTGAACGAAAGCGCTCGTGAAATTTTTCACGCGTAACGTAGGATACGCACTATCGCACACGAGTCATACTTCCTCGCAACTAAGGTGGACGGATTGAGGGCAGAAAAAATAGAGACGAGAAATCTACGGGAATTTATTCCTCAAACTTACGAGTCATTAGATCGCGGATCGACGATTTCGCCGAATCAGTTTTCATTCACATTACTCAATTCGTCGATCTTACACGAAGGGGTATCGCGCCTTCTAATGATAGTAACAAAAACCGAGATCGTAATCGAAGTAATGGACAAACATTGTCCCGTAAAGTGGAAATCTCAAAATTCACACAGTGAGGCGCAAATCTCGAAAAAGCATAATCTCGAAATTCGGATATCGAGGAACAATCTTCTGAAATTTGGCTTTTCAGGAATATTGGAAGCATACAACTGCCCCGAAATGTTATAGAACTGAAAGAGAAAAGTCATAAAAGTTGTAAATAAATACAAGTTACATAAAACTGAAAAGAATTATAAAAGTGCTACGTTATATAAAATCGAAAAGTTATAAAAACTGTATGTAACATCGAAATCTATGCGAGGTAACCCATTCCAAATAAAAAAAAAAAAAATTATAATGACGTCAAAATGATGAGAAATGACTGAAAAACTAACTTTTCAATCATGATCCGATCATTTTCTCGTCATTTTGATGTTATTTTGTCGTCATCGTGATTTTATTTTTATTTTTCTTCTTTTTTTAATTTTTATAGTGTTACTTTCGTACCAGTTCTATATTTTATAACAAAAAAAAACCAAATTTTTTTGGTTTACTTAAATAAATGAATAAATAATTATTATATTATAAGAATTATATATATATAGGATTTTCTATTCTGGGAGTTATAAATCGATTATAAATCGATTAAATTATTTTCTCGTTATTTTGATGTAATTTTAATGTCGTCGTGATTTTATTACTATTATTATTATTATTATTATTAGGATTATCATAGCATTTTCTGTTTCTCATGGAATATATTATAAAACTATATATTAAAAAACTATATATTATAAAAAACCTTTTTTCGAAACAACAGTAATAATTTTTCATTACATTGTCTCTCTTATTGATTTCGGTATTAAGACTTTTCAAGATAATATGACGTGTTTGTTATATTTCGGGGAAATTATAATTCATGAAATAGTTTCGATATTCGGATTTCGAGATTATGACTTTTGTGAAAATAGTTTCCGCTTTTCAAATTTCGATAGATTTCTTCCGGGACAACGCACGTCCACCATTGTGAAGTTCGCGAAATGCACCGTAATGCACCCGCGGAGAGTTAGTGGAAAATATTCACGTAATTTTTATTGTCACCCAGAGTTTCCTGTCGTAGTAATCGTGACGTAGCTCTTCGCCACTTCGTCGTCGTCGTTAAAATAATATGACCAGTTGCTTGCGTGCCGGCAAAAGGAGATTCGTCTTCGTCGATCTCGAGCAGGATCGACGAATTGAACTCACTTGCTCTGTATGATCGGTCAAAGCAGCCAAAGACGCGGCAGCGCAGTCAGACATGATGACCATGTGAAGTAACGTAAACGTAATCGACGACGATATATTTAATAATGATAAGTAGCGTTAATCTCTCGCACACATCAACAATCTATATGATAGATTATAAATAATCAGAAAATAATATTAGGTATATGATAATGACAACAGCGAAAAGTAAACAGAATGCACCAAAAATATTGTTGCAGCCGATTTGTCGTAATCGTTCGTTTAAGTTTTACGTTTATGTTTGGAAAACACACACACATACATATGCGGAAAAAATGCTTTTGTATCAATAAAATTATGATTGGTATTATGAATATAGTATGTCCACGACGTAGATGATCTCGGAAATCCGATTAGTCCGACAGAACTCCATCTAATCAATAAAGACCAATTGGTCTGTATCAATTATATAAGCGGGACAAGATGTTAAAGTTATTTATAATGTAATATAAATAACAATATATTTATTTACGAGTAATTACCCGGGTAGAAATGATTATGTGTAACTTTTGTTTCTGTATGGACATATAATTATACGTAATTATATTTATTCACTGTGGAAAAATGCTGCTATAAATGTTGCTATACGAAATAAAGTCGAAGTAAATACTTCTGTCTCTGACAGCCAGTATTGGGCATTAATCGATTAAAATTTCCTTTGGATGAAATAATCGGCGAATCAATAATGAAAATTAATTAATTGCTACATGTGAGATCACAAATAATTTCATCGATTAATGCAATGAATTATTAATCATATTTTGGTATGATTAATTATATATTAATTATATACTGATATCATTAATTTAATCAGTCGATTGCTTTATTTTAGATTTTAGCTGTCTGATTATTAATTTGCTGATTATTTTAGACAAAATGTTAACAATACGCTGGCAGCTTGGCAGTAAATTCGATCAAAATCCCGCAATAAAACTATAACCACTTGCATGGTTATATTAAGTTGGTGTTCTTGCGTCAGGACCTGCTGATATGATTCGATGACAGATTGGCGTCAAGTTCTGCCGCTAAATTGCGTGCTACAGAGTCTGGTTTCTACCAGAAAGTCTGGTTCCGGGCATAGCATGTTAGCTAGCTCTGTCAGATTTTTGACGACAGTTTGGCAACATCGTCACATAAAACAGTTTTGTAGCCTTTCTGGCATCAAAAATTTATAACAGACCCTGCGCAGGCTTAACTATCTGGATTAATGCCTAACACTACTGGCAGTCAATGATGTCGGCATATTTAATAGAGAATGAAACTATTCTTACCATTTTTATTCAATAGCATTTTTTCCGTGTGTATATATATATATATATATATACATACATGTAATTATATATGATTATATATATGACAATATATAAGGACAAAAAATATGTATATATGGATCACATATATAATTATTTACATATAATATGTTATTTTTTCGGATCACATGTTAATACTTTGGACCTAATATATTTTTTGATATTATTATTATATATTATATAATATCAATTGTAGTCAACAGAATAGCATCACTGGAATGAATTTTTCTGATTCAATAGCAACATGTTGTTAAAATTCACACATTACATATTGTTTTAATCAACTCGAGTTTATTAGTTTTAATAATATTGCTACTGAATCAAAAAAGAATATTACCTCAAATTATGGCTCTGTCGATCAATTCTGTTGATACGATGGCATTTATTTTCCGTGCTGACAGCCACATACATACACACACGCACACCTTACGTAACTGTGTACCTGTATAGTTTTGCCTTAAATGCAAACGCGTCTAGTCACACGTTATCGAAGGACGACGATAGGCTGCCTTATTTCCGTTATTATCGCGTTCACGGCGACGAGGCGCGCGAGACAATTTGTTCGCGATCCTGTCGAAATACGTACACATAGTGGACGCACAGACTAATGCGGACACTTGACATCGACATAACACCTAGCAGTCCGCGGTGCAGTTCGATCGATAATTTCGGGAATCCGTTCCGATCACAGATGATTCGCCCCGTGAAGCCAGCAATGATATAATCCGTCTTTATGTTTATTATAAGGGGGACAAGCTGATGAAATTGTTTATATAACATAATATGTATAATAATATATTTATTTACGAGCAATAATGTATTGTCCGAATTGTATGGGAGAATACTTCACACTCAGTGTATTTCTAAGAATGTTTTGTTCGTTTATATCTTTGTACGGTTAAAACGGGAAAGATCTTGTCTGGATACGACGAGCAACGTGTAGCAACGCATCGAACCGCCAAGATCCTACGATAAACTATGTATAGTCAGTAAACTATGTATACCCAAACAGAACAGAAAATCATGACGGCGTCAAAACGGCGAGGAAATGATCGACTTGTGATTGAAAAGTGAGTTTTGGTCGTTTTCTCGTCATTTTGACATTATTTTGACGTCATTGTGATTGTTTCGTTCTGCTTGGGTATACATTTAGACTTTTTTTTACATCTCGCTATAACGAACATTGTCGGAGTACAAAACGTAATCAAAAGCGCAAACGGAGAATCAACGTTCGAGCCTAGGCGCGATGTATATTGAAATAGCGATATATTTACACGTTATACGTGAAAGAAAGCGACACCGATTTCCTCCGAAGAAGTCTGACGAGATAGAAGTAACGACGAGAACATTTCCCTCCTTACTTTCTCGTTTTGCATTTTCGCATCTGCATTCTGGAGAACGTACGAGCAGCTCCGCGATGTAACAACTTACTCCGATCACATCATGCGGTCAGTGGAAGGAAAGTTGCAGCACTTCTTGTTTTTTTTTTTTTTTTTTTAACAAGTTCCGCGACGCATCCGTATCCGATAGGAGATAATTTGTTTCTCGGTAATTCTCATAAGATAAATTTTCCTATTGAATACTTCGGAAGAGAGGTTGACGTGCTGCTAACTTTCTTCAACTGTCTCTACCACCAATCGAGTCACTAAAGTCCATATCAAATATTAGAGATTAAGAATTGCAGATTGAAGATTCACGAACTTGACCAATCAGAACAAAATGAGCCAAGATCGAAGTTTGTTGATTCGTCGATTCTTATTTCTAATTCTCAATCTCCAATACCCAATCTGATATGAGCTTAAGGGGAAATTTTAATTTCAATAGTCGAAAAATGGGAAATTTTCATGATTTTTTTTTAAGAAAACGAATAAAGATATTAATATAAGATTTTAGCCATATTATTTATCATTGTTGTTGAAAACATTATTTTAAAAAGTTGAAATTCCGCCCAGGTTTTTTGATGATGAGCGTTGATGATAACTGATGGACGACATTACAGCTCGTGCACTAATTTAAAACAAATGGGATAAGAAAACTTTCAAACTGCTTTATATTTGCTGGAGGATAAATATAAAACTTTTGGAGAATTTCCAAAAAATTAGTTTTTGTCCGAGACACTAAAAAGAAAAAGAGGAAAAACCACTTATAACTTCAAAGAAAATTTCGATTTTCTGCATATTATAAAGGTTCACCCTTCAGCAAATTTAATACTTAAATTTTTTTGTCCCATTTGTTTTAGATTATTACACAAGCTGTGGTGTAACGTTGTCCACTACCCGATGAAAAATTTTTCATGCAAAATTATGTATAAAATTTGTCCATACATAATTATGTATAATTATATATAATCATATAAAATTATATATAATTATACACAATTATGTATAACAATATATATAATTACATATAAATGCGTAATTATGTAAAATTATATATGAATTTATATATATTATTATACATAATTATGTATAATTACATACAATATAAGTAGAATGTATGAACATGAATGGACAAATTTGATACATAATAATATATAATTATGTATAATTATATATATATGTATAATTATATATAATTTTATATAATTTTATATAATTATATATGAAAAATTTTTCATTGGGTAGTTAGAAACGTCCAGCAACATCACACTCAGCATAAGAAATCTGGAGAAACGAAAAAACTTCAATTATCTCTAAACTAAAGAAATAATTCTTTTATACTTAAAATAACGATAAATAATACGGTAAAGATCTTACGTTGGTATCTTTAACTAAGAAACAAAAAAATTTGTGAAAACCTGTGCTTTCGGCTGTTTAAAACCTTCCCTTAACGAATCTCATCAGTCTCGTCTCATTGAACGAAACTAGGTGCTAATAACGAAAAACCGTCGTTATAAACGCCTCAGGTAGCACATACACGTATCAGAAACGTTTCTTATAAACGTAATTCTTAAATCTATAGTTCCAAAACCGTAAAGCACCAATAAGAAACGTTTTAACAAGATCCTTTCTGAAACCTTATTTATGAAACGTTTATAAAACGTTTATAAAACATTTTAAAATGTTTATAAAATGTTTCTTCAACGATTTTTTTTTCGCAAAAATAACGTTTCACCTAACGTTTTTTGAGTGGACATTTTTACTCGTGAGAAACGTTTCAGAAATGTTATGAAACGTTTAGTTCTAACCTTATTTATGAAACGTTTATAAAACGTTTATAAAACGTTTATAAAACATTTCTAAAACGTCTGTATGCTACCTGGGGCGTGTGTCCATCGCGTCCAACTGGACACACTTTGAGACGCGATATCGTGGAAAACGCGATAAAATTCGAGCAACGTTAGTTGATCTTTTTCTGCATATGTACAGGCTGTGAAACACACCGTTAGGAGCGGATCGAAGGCCACGAAGTGCGAAACGCGCGTAGGCTGCATTCACGGCTTTGCAGAGGCGGCTTTGAAGCGCAAGGTTGTGGATTAAACTCACACAACTGGTTCAACGCAAATTTTCCGCATGGTGATTCATGTACTGGCATGAAATATTATAGCATACGCGGGGGATATAATCGATAAAGTACATGTACAATTATCATGTTTGCGAAAGTACATTAACCGGTCTGATAGCCTCGATACGCAGTATCATTAAGTTATCAGTATTTTATAATGGTTTTAATATTTTATAACTATTAATTTATATAATATCCGTTTCTAAAAACCAATTATGAATTCTTTCCTTTTTAACCCTTTAACGTTCAGGCATCGATTCCGATTGAGTAGAATTTTCTTTTTCGTAAAACAATCTTAAAAAACGCTTCTCACGAAGAGTTTTGTGGTCCGAATAAATTTAACCATCGGGAGGTACGATTTTGAATGTACGTAATTATGTACATTCATGTTTGCTCGTGTTTTCCAGTTATAGAATTTAATAAATCTTATAATCGTGGTAATATATATAAAAGCGCCAACCTTTATACTTTAAGGTAACATTGATAAAAAATTGAGAAAATAAAACTTATTTATCTCCTTCGTAAAAAACTTTACATAATTTTAAGCGTGAACGATTCTGCTCTACATGTTGGCCTTTCCAGCGAGAAAATCATTATTTCACAGGTTGGGGCGAAGAATGTAGCTCTATTTAGAATGGATCAATAGTATTACATTGACGGAATTATTACTTTATCAATATAAAAAAATTTGGGAGCATCCAAAGTGAATGTACATAATTATGTACACTGGGCCTTAAAGGGTTAAAATAAACTCATGAGAAATGAAAGTTCTCTAACTTGAAAATTGATTTGATTTGAAAGTTATCATTTTTCGCCAATTTACATCAAATAAGAAGACTCATGATTAACCCTTTAGACAGTCAGTAGAGGAAATGTTACAATTCTTTTATCTTGATGAGTGCATATTTCGAAATGCATACGAAATTCAATTGGAAAATTTATTTTTTGAGGATTACTAAAAATAGATTCTCCTATTGAATGTGTGAGACTCATCGTGAAAAAGTATTGCAATTTTTCTTCTATTGACTAGACGTTAACGTGAAGCCATCATAGTGATAGATTACTTAATTCGGTAATACATTATTACCGTTTCTTTGGATAACTAAAAAATAAATATTACAACATTTCTTCTACCGATTAGATATGAATGCAAAATTATCATAGTGATACGTGATTCGTTCGAAGAGTACAGAGATAGCGCGAATTTGGCCAAATCTTTATTACTGTATTTTAAAGCCTTTATTAAGTTAAATATGACAGTATAGAGTGATCTGTCGATTAGTATTGGATAGTGCGCCAAAATGTGAACGCCTCGAGTGTTTTGTACGTTCATTGTTTGAATCATTCTTTTGTGTTTGGACTGACGTGGTAGACTTAGATTTCATCGACGATTATAAATCGATGCTAAAAGTCCTTCAGATTGCGGCGAGATCATACCAAAAGGTGCGAGAAACATCGAAACTGTTCAGTCTTTGCTGATACGACCAAACGCAGAACTCACTTTGATGCGCTGTCAAATAAAAACTAATCGATAGGTCACTCTATGCGGTCACATTTAACCTAGTAAAGGAAGGCTCTGAGAGATACAACGATAAAAATTCAGTCAAATTCATTCTGTCTCTGCATTAGATCACGTACTTTTTGGACGACCACGTAGATTGTTGATTCAACACATCGTTGCCGTCTCTTTGAACAATCGAAGAAAGTATTGCGACCTTTCTTCCATTCACTGAACATTAACGTAAAGCTATCATAATGACAGATTATCGATATATCGTTACCGCTTCTTTGAGAAAAAATAATCAGTAAATAATAAATCAATAATGCATACGGCTAGAAAATCTCACTAACCTGGTTACGTGTTAAGGCTATTTCGCTGGTCAGTGTGCATACATATCACCGTGCGGATAACTTCAGTGATATTTTTTCATCCTTCAAGAATCAGGTTTCTCTCTCCTTCTCTCTTTCTCTCTCTCTTGATCCACGCCCTGGTAAAAAAAGTTTATAGAAAACGATAGAATAAAATTCTATCGTTCTATCGTTTTCTATCGTTGTGAATATGGATTTTAGTTCGTGAATTCACACATGTGAATAGTATTCTATCGTATACAATAGAATACAATAAATAGTGATAGAATTTCTATCATCCGTTTCCTATATAATACAAATAGAACTCGATTCTTATAGAACCAGATAAAATACGATAGGATTTATATCTGATGCTCGCGAATGCTGACGCTTGCGAACGATAGAGCTTATAGAAAACAATACAAATTGATAGAAATTCTATCGTTCTCAATCGTTCTCTATCAACTTTTTTTATCAGGGTTGAGATCCATCTTCCCAGATAACACGCATATCTAAAAGATGTCGAAAAGATATCTAAAAGACATCTTATGCATTTTGTTGCATAAGACATCTTTTAGATATGCATGTTATCTGGGTTCCCTCCTCTACAAATTTGTCCAAGTTCACCAACAATAGATCGGAAGAGATTCACGATCACACCGGCCGGGTTAATGATTTTGTAGAGCGCTTCAGTTCACCGCGAGTCGACGCCGTTGTCAATTTTTACACGAGCGAAAACGAGAAACTTTTGAAGCATTCTTGAAGAGAATACCGCACAGTTTTTCGCGTAATCGAAAGTACAACGATACGATAGCCCGCGAAGCGACTTAACTTTAAGCCATATTTAACTTACACCACGCGGCGTATGATTGTCTTTCTTCTTCCTTGTTCGCTCTGCGACACACGCACACACATACTTCTGTTCCTTGCCCCGCTCTCTCCTCCCTCCAGACCCCCCTCTATTAGTACGTCGAAAAAAGAGAGTCGCGAGTCATGTTTTATCGTAAACTCATCGAGATGTCGAAGCAATTACGAGGCGTTGGCGCTGAAAGGCGTCCAGAGATGACGATTGTGCCTAATAATAAATGTTGTTACATGATAATGTTATACACTTGTCATATAGAAAGTCTATTTATGAACGGTATTTCCAATTGTTCCGCAAAAGAAAGAAGCTTCTTATTCTCGATCCAACATCGATCGCGCATCTCTCTCTATGTACGTATAATATATAAAGAGACCATGACGATGTCGATTATTATGCATTGCCGATTTATAATAATATATGATACAATGATGATAATAATAATATGATTATACATATAGCTATAATATATATATATATATATATATATCTATTATGTTATCATTAATATTAATTAATTATTCTAGCTACGACTCGAATAACGGTAGCAATGATAACGGTATAATGTAACGTTACAGAAAGTAATATATTATGAATCTACAACGTTATATTTCTATCTCTTTCTCTCTCTTTCTCCCGATTTGTTCGATCGACTCACTCGATCTGTTTCCTTGATTCGTGCCATTTCCTTCCAACTGGTCTTGTAAGAAATTCCCCTCGTTGTGATCCATTTCTGGCGTGAAACATGTTTCCCCCTTAATCCTCTCGGTTTCTCGCTCGCGGACTCGATCCCGGCGAGATAAAAATAACTCCCCTTTGAACGTTCAATAGAGTGCGAAAGCTCGAGAGAGAGATTTTACGGTGAGCCACCCCCGTGTGGGCGATATTGAGACGCGGTGTAATTTTTTTTTTTCTACGA